TAATGATAAAAAATAATGAAATATGTTTATGTGATATCATCAATTTTAATAATGTCTTTAATTTGGTTACTGGTAAATAATAATGCGGAAAAGTATAAATACAGTTACGTTTTTGTTATTTTACATTGCAAAGCGACTACATTTCACATAATACGAATAGAAAATCGTGATGAGCATGCGAAGCCTTTTAAGCAGAACTTAGTGAATGACATTTCATTAAATCTCAAAGATATATCTTCCAGATTTTATTATAAATGTCTTTAAATACAAAATATATAAAACAACAATTATGAATACCTCATACCGTTACACAGAAACTAAACTAAATTAAAAATTTTATTAAAAATGGCAAAATGGCCCGTCATACTTTGTTTAATTCTCGCAGGTACAAGAAGCTGATGCTCAGGAATGTGGGTTTTTAATTTTATTCACCATAGACGCCAGTACTTGCAATAGATTGAACAAAATACTTAGGCATTTTATTATTGAGTTTAAAAAATTGTAATAGGAAGGGAGCTTGCACAATTTGAATAATAAAGGACTGTTCATTTTGCACATGAAGTAATCTCTAATGAAGTTTGATGATTGTAAATGATTACAAAACAGCAGATTACCTTATTTATTATACGTTCGAGCACATTGTGTGTTTGTTATTTGTGTAATTGAAATTCTCTGTTTGCCATTACCATTAACTAAATTACTAACAGATTTGTCCTTTTTCGAAAGAAAATTATACCTAGTCACAGTTTTCTTATTATACATATACTCGTATATCTACCTGCCAAACAAAAGCTTTGAATGTATTGTACATATTGGTTGAAATATTAAAAATTAGTTTGTCCAATTGTTACAGAAAACTCCCTAAATAACAAAAACAATTTATGAAACTATGTCAGTGCTATAAAAATATGTTGAAATTTGAACTAACAGTAAATCTACCACCAACTCCATAAATTTTAAAAGAATTGCTTTAATTAACATTTTTAAGAGTCCATTATCGTTTAATGTTAATTAATTATAACTGCACACTGGTAATCTTCCACACATTATTAAGGAAATCTTGACAGAATATTTAGAAACCGAGATTGCCTCGTAAGATAACAATAAGTTCACTTTTGGTTTGGAGAAAACCACCCGAATAATTTGATCCGAAATTCTAGAGCAGCGCGGGTCTATTATTTTTTATTTGAAATGCTTCGAATGTCATTTCAATCGTGAACATCTCATTACGTACGCCCAGTGAAAAAGACATCAGCAATAAGCCATTCTAAAAAAAGAACAATACCTACATGAGCCGTATGAATTGTAATGTCAGGCCAACGAACGCGTAGGAACACGCTATGTCCATAGATAAAGACAAATAGCGATGCCCAAATCCGACTGAATTACGAAAATGGCAACACTATGCCACCAATTTAAAGTGGACCTCTGTTGGCTGCATAGAGGCATCCCTGGAATTTTTCGACTGCTCCACTGCCCCGTTTTGTTAGTTCTAGACGGCGACGCAGTGGCGCCACTTAATTTATGTTCGTAAAACCATTACAGATTCCTGTAATTCGCAGGAGCAGTTGTAATTTGTCAATAAGAATTTTTAAATAGGTACTTTAGACTACAACGGCTTTATAAAGTAGACCAAGGATATTAGAAGAACCGATAGAACGTTGACGATAATAAGCAACCGAGAAATGGCGCTGTTTTTGTTTAATTTATAGGGAAAACTAAGTCTTTGCAGAGAAAACAAGTAATAATTTGGCATACCGTGTTTTATATTCGTGTTATTATGTTTTACTTTCTTAGAACTGGCCAAATAATATCGTGTCAGATTCAAAATGTGAATGTCCGAGATGTATGTGTACATTATTAGAAACAGGTTGTATTCGCCGTCGCACTAAATGACGTCACAATGCGTTCTTGACAAAATTGTATATTGTAGACTACAAATATATGCAGTTCTAAAAGAAATTAGATTTTCATGAACGTCGACTATTGTTACATATCATTTTGACTTGCCGCTGTTTCCCGGATTAAAAATAAATTGCCATTTGCAGTTTCTCCGAGAGAGCCAAGGAATGAAAATCGTCAAAAAACCTAAAGATAATTCAAATATAAAACTGATAGGTGATTTAAAATTAACATAATAGATGTTACTATTTCCCGCCACCCCTTCTAGGGGATGAAAAAGAAAATATTGAAAATAAAGGAATCGATAAAGCAATAAATTTTAAGAAATATATTTTTTTGAGATATTGGTGATTGAAAATGTACATTTTTTTTATTAAAAAAAGACGTTCTTCAGTCGTTTTTCTCGAATAACTCGGAAAATAGACATTTTATTTAAAAAAAAACGAAGAAAATGAAGCTTATGGAAAAAGAAAAATATTGAGTTTTTTTTCATTTACGTATCTGCAAGAGGTGCTTTTTCAAGAAAAATGCACACAACATTTTTTAAAGTACTTTAAAAAATCTTTAAAATGAACTTGACTTTAGGTCATTAGCATAAAAATTAACAGTTATGATAAAAATAAAACTGTTAATTCGCTTTTTCGGGAAAAAGTACAACTGATGAATTTTTCACGAGATTTAAAATTAAAAGTAATCCTTCTACAATTACATTTTTTAGTGCTAACAATATATTATACAAGTTTAAGCGGTTTAGAATGCATATTTTTGAAAATATTACGTTTTGATTGAAAAAACATTTTTTAATTCCAAAAAGATAACATTTTTGAAAATAAATTAAAAAATAAAGAAGGTACAAAAAATATTCAAGAGTACAAAAGTTTATATTTTTTTTCACATAATATTTTTCACTAAAATTTTGGTATAAGGTTTACTTAATTAGAGTTTAAAATATTACTAAGAATGTATGCGTTGTTTATGAGACATCAATAAGTTTTGACATAAACCTACTTTGAGAAAAGTCACTTATTTTATAGACCGTAATATTGTAAGAGCCTTAAAAGTCTTTTTACTCGAAAACCGTCCACATTATAAAGTTCTAACAAGAGTACATTATTTTTAGAAAAACAAGTTTGTACATTAGAAATTGGAGTCCGAATGGTAAAAAGCTTAACCTTAAATTAGAACTTAAAATGTAATAGGAATGTAGCATAACTAGCGCCCTCTATGAAATATCCAAAAAATAATTAGACTAGCGGATTTGGCATCCTTAAAAACCTCGCAATACCAAACTTCATAAAAATATTTCGCACCGTTTGGAAACTCGTAAAAATTCTATTTAAAAAAATTTATTTTGTCGCTCTGAATCTCGAAAACAAGAGGAGATAGATATAAAGTTCATAAGAAAAAAATCTTATTTTTAATTGTACTATCACCTGTATTTTCTGAAACACCCTGTAAAACTTTTCATCTGCAGGGTGAAATAAGCTTAATTCCAAATTTTCACTTATAATACCACTAGAGCTTCAATTATTACTGGAAATTTTTTTGAGCTCACGAATTTTCTAAAAAATATTCGTGTGCAAGAAAAAATTTCCAGTTTTTAATTGAAGCTAGAGTGGTATTCGGTAAGAAAATTTCACAATATAATCAAAGTAACTTACATACATACATATAACATTAGGTTAAATAAAATACAACTAACCGACTTTAGTTAAGCAAAATAATAAAAAATAAGTCGATAGTAGATCAATCCCTCAGTTTTCCACATACTCATTTTACTAAAGTTGGTAGAAATATATTTTCTTACAAAGAACCTTAAGCACTATGTAATATCAATAAAATTCATATGTATATATTATTAAGAAGGCCATGGAATCCATGTCAAACAAGGTAATCGTGACTTTTGACGTTATTTGACCATTTTCTTTAAAATCGTTGTGTTGTACAATTGAAAAATGGAGCGGTTTGAGAAATACGTTTTATGCAAGTTTTGCAAAAAAGTTAGTGAAATTAAAATGTATCATCGGAACCTAAAATTTTTAATGTATTTATTACAAGAATGCGGGCCAGAAATTTATTCGCCAAACTTGTTTGGGATTATTAAAAATCATTTGCTTCTTGTGTGTAAGAAATATGGAGCTCTTCGTGGATCACAGCAAAATAAGATTGTTTCAAAGTACTACATTTATTTTTTGAAACAGACATTTTATAAATTTTAGTGAATGTGTGCTTGTTTATTCCCCATTAAGAAAAGAAGACGTGGCTGAGGAATTTCAGCAACATTTGGACGCTTTAATTAAAACTACTAAAAGTACATACATGGTAAATAATTATTTATAAATGATTTGTACTTATTAAATTATGATAGAATAAATTTGAAGTTAAATATAAATGTCATTTTATTTATAAATGTCAAAAAATTTCCAGTGTAATTTCATGCTCCTTACCCCAAGGAAGAGAAAAATTTCCGGAAATTTTCTTAGTTGCTATAGTAACGCTACAAAATACAGGCCTTTAATTGGCTGAAAAATACTATTGTGAAATTTTCATAAAAATCGTATCTATCGGAAAGTATTCGGAGGTTTTACCCTATTTTGCTCTTCGTTCCCTGGACTATTGGTCTACACAAGTGTAAATCAATGTTTCATGACCTTAACAGTTTCCAAAACGAACTAAAGGAAGTTGGATGCATTTAATTTGATCAAATATTTCCTATTTAGCTTCAGAATTTGATTATATATCCATTACATTTCAAGTATCAAACTTGTCAAAAACGTTTTAACTAAATTTTGAACGCTGCTGTAATAGCTATCGTTAATGGAACCAACGTATTACGTTGCCGTAATAATGCCCGAGTATTTTACCGTTAAAGATTACCCGTCTAAAGCGAATATCATTACTCGATAATTTTTCACGGCGGCCGCCCCGAAGCTACACAATAAGCCCTCGTAAAATATGCAAATGCAAAAGGAGTACGGCGTAGTGCCCCATTATCGGGCCACCCCGACACTCTAAACATCCCCCTCGGCGAGGGATAATTTTCCGCAAATATTTTCGTTCTCGGTTGCTTTTAATATTCCCCCGTATCCTTGTTACAGTCTATGATGCACATAAAGGAGAAGAAGGACATGGACGACGCATTTAAGAAGGCGCAGAAGCCCTGGGCGAAGCTCTTACAGAAAGTGGAAAAGGCCAAGACTGACTACCACACGGCGTGCAAGACGGAGAAATCTGCCGCCAACCAGGAGAGAAACGCGGCCGGAGACAGCTCGTTCTCTGCGGATCAGGTAAACACGGCAAGTTTTCTTGTGTACTCTTTTTAATAGTTTACGAGTTTGTACAGGCAGAATGTTGTTCCATGTTTTGCTTTGAGTTTTTATCAGAAAGTGCGGTGTGTCCACAGGGGAGTTGAAAAGAGGGATCACTTTTTTTTTATTTTATGAAAAAAACATTCTTTTGAAGAAATACTACTTCAAAAATTAAAATAACGAGCGTTCAAATAAAAACGTGGTCAAGTTGGTTCTGATAATTTGGACGTAGGGCGTAGCGTATAGCAAATTAAGTTAAACGTCATCTGTCAAAGCGCTATGTCGCCGCTATCAATTTGAATATTTTCGTTTTAAAAAGCCTTTAAAATGGTGTTTTCTCAAGAACAAAAAGTGTTTATCATAGAGTCCTACTTTAGAAATGGACGCAAGATTAATGGAATATGGAAATATTCATTATTGAGGAATGTTTCATAGAATTTCAAAATCAATTTCCCGGCGTTGTTGAGTACAAAATTTTTCAAAGTGCAGTTCAGCGTTGTGTTAATGTTTTTCGTGAAACGGGCAGTGTAACAAGAAAAGAAGGAAGCGGCCGACCTAAAAAGCGGACTGAAGAATTAAAAGAAAATGTCCAACAAATAATGGAAAATGCGCCAAGAACTTCTGTACGTGTTTTATCACAAATGGTGGGACTATCAGTCGGTACCTGCCACACAGTGTTAAAAAAAGATTTGAGTTTGTTCTCCTATCGTTTAACTTGTCAGCAAGAACTTCATGAAGTTGATTTTCCGCGACGGGCTGTATTTTGTGAATGGTTTTTAAACAACTACGGTGAACTTCATAATATCACCTTTTTTTCTGATGAAGCCTGGTTTCATTTAAGTGGTTACGTAAACTCACAGAATATGAGAATGTGGTCTTCTGAAAAACCAGATAACTTTTTTGTCGAGGGCCCTCTACACGCTCAAAAAATTGGAGTTTGGTGTGCTCTCAATCGAAGGAGGATTTATGGACCTATTTTTTTAATGGTACTCTTACTGCGCAAAGGTATAGAGAGGAAATTATCGCTCCTTTTGTTAACCAGCTGGAAGAAAACGAAATTACAAAGGTCATGTGATATTACGCCGTGTGATTTCTTTTTGTGGCCTTACCTTAAAAACACTATTTTTGAACTGCCTATTCCTGATTTAAACCATCTGCAGGCTCGACTTATAGACAAGATTCGTGAAATTAACAATACCCCGAGCATCTTAGAAAATGTCTTTAATTCTTTGAGGAACAGGTGTGAAAAGTGCTTGGAACAAGGAGGGGGACACTTTCAGCAGCTGCTTTAATTTATTGTTATAACAAGGAGGGGGACACTTTCCGCAGCTCCTTTAATTGTTTGTTATTGTTATCACGATTATTCTTTAAAATAAAGTTATATAGTCATTAACGTTATTGAAACTGACAGCTGCTATACAGCTCGTTGAGAAATGAGGTTAAGTTGGTCGCTATAAGCTACTCCATACGTCCAATGTGTCAGAGCCAACTTCGACCACGTTTTTATTTGAACGCTCGTTATATGGATAAACATTTTCAGTGGGACAACATATGTCCTCTATTAATGAAATGGTTATAACAGTTGATGTTATCCTTAGAATTCAATAATGCATTATGCTAATTAAGAAACCAAGAAAGAGAGAAACATTCAAAATACATAAAAAAAGATTTTTACGTCATGAGAAGAATTTTCTGAGTCAAGTATCTGCTTAAGCAAATAATATATACCAGAAAATTCAATTCTACTTTTAATCTTTGTATAATGTGGACAAAAAACACAATTCTTTTAAAACATGTTATTAACATAAATTTGTCTTATTTGGTCTGCTTCATAGAAGACACAAATGGTGAGTTTTGTTTGCTTGGAATAGAAAAAAAAATACATTTAATTGTGTTTATGTCGAAATGCTGTTTTATGATTAATTATATCACCCAGGTGAAAAAAATGCAAGACAGAGTGCAGAAATCCAAAGAAGAGGTTCAGAAATGTCGAGAGAAATACGAGTTGGCCCTTCAAGAAATAAACCAGTATAATCCGAAGTACATGGAGGATATGACGGTTGTGTTCGATAAGTGTCAGGAATTAGAAGCTCAAAGGCTGAATTTCATCAAGGCAACGCTCTTTGAAATACACAAATATCTTAACGTTTCGCAGGACCCAACGTAAGTGTAACTTTTTTAAACGCGCTATTCTCCGCAGCGTCTTAATATCGGAAACTCTCCTCAGCTTGAACCAGATATACGAAGAACTTTACCACACGATCAACAACGCGGACTACGAAAAAGACCTGAAGTGGTGGTCGAACAACCACGGCGTCAATATGGCCATGAACTGGCCGCAATTCGAGGTGAGTCTTCCAAACTACCGCAGCATGAGACTGACATAATTTTTATTTTTGTTGGTTTCGAGTGTGATTTTTATTTTGTACTGCATGTTTCTGTATAGGATTACACCGAAGAGTTTCGTGATATTCATAAGGGAAAATCGAAAGACTCGTCCCCGTCCGGAATTACTTTAATCCATCAAAGACCCGTTGGAGAGGATCTGCATGTATGCTTTTTGCTTTTACTTTATTACCTATTTTTTAAGGCGTTTTTACACTGAGGCAGGTTTCATTAGTCGTAGAGACCGGAATTTCGTATAGAATCGCAGAGGGAATCATAGGGAATATATTTTATTAGTTGCTGTAGTCCAGGTGCGAGGCCCGGAAAAGAATTTGCTTCGAAATAACTGGAAAATGTGTTTGTTCGTTCCAGTGCGTTTTAAAATTCTTTTGGGTCAATTTTATGGAAAGAAAACCAATAATTTATATAATCGTCGAAGTTTTGTTGTTTTAATTAGAATATCCTCAGGATTCTACAGTTACGGTATCTTTTTTGTCAATTTTAAAGTAAAAATCATGAGTTTGCATTTAGTGATCAACAAATACATATTGCTTTGAAGAATTCCCCGGTACCTAAAAAAGTCCTGTGATTTTTAAGAATGACTAAAAGAAACCATAATTATAGACTCCTGAAGATGTAATAAAACAATGAAACATCGGCGTCGAACTTGCATATATTGTATTGTCACCAACAACCCTAAAAGCTGATTATTTTGTGTATTCCATCAGTCCATTTGATCCCGAACATTATTTCAAAAATAAAAAATCTTCCATTTTATAAACGAGTAATTTTTAACTTACTTTTTTCTAAAATCTAAAATATAGCAAAAAGAATTTCTGCGTTATTCAATTTTCCAGATGTTTAATGATTACATTGTATTTAAAATTGCATTTGTAACAAAAGATTTAATCTACTGACATGATTTGAGTTTTGGTGATATATAACCTACAAAGTATATGTCATATCTTAAATGTCATTGATATTCAGTGCCTACTGCTCTGACAGTAGGTACAAAGCAATGTTTGGTTCCAGTAGGCAATGACATCTAAGATATGGCATATATTTTGTAGGTTATATCTCGCCCAGTTTAAGTTGTACGAAAAAGAAAATGGATGATATGTTTTTTCTTTGATATACAGTTACAAATCAATGGGATTGATGGGCTTTCCAAAAAAATATTTTATTCAGATGAAATAGTACATTTTTTTTCTTAAAAAGGTCAGACGCAAAGTTATACGGAGCAATATTCCTGAAAATTCCTAGCTCCTGGACTATTTTCGCAAATCGCTAATATTACTAACAGTCCAAACGTACGAAATTAAATTGGATGCTGCTTATAATAATTGACTAATTCACTTAGTCAAGTGTTCCAACCGGTGTATTTTTTAATCGCCGCTCTTGATGAAGATATCGGCATTATTAGTAAATAAATAGTTTTATCTTTTAAACGCGGGGTACTCCAGCCAACATGAATCATTGCGAATGTCGAAATAAAAAATAATTGTGAGCTTACGTCACCACTTTTATTGCGCGTTTATCATTATTTATTTGTGTTCTTTGGTGTATTATAAATTAGGATAATCAGAGGTGGCATTTATATGCGGGCTGTTTCAGGATTAGGTGGCTAAATTTAAAATTGGTGTCGTAGTGTCCAAAATAAGGATAAAAAGGCCCATGATGAAATGTCCGGAAATGCTTCATATTCGACATCTAATACACAGTTTGTCTAAATATTAAATAATTCACAAATAACAGACTTTCCTCCATTCTAACGCAGATTTTCTATAAAACGGAGTTAGTTTGAAACTCAAATTACTTTTTGTTGTAAAGAAAATTGTAATTTTGAACAATGGGCATCGTAAATTACAAATTTCTTTACAACAAAAAGTGATTTGAGTTTCAAACTAGCTCCATTTTAAAGAAATTCTGTGTTAGAATGGAGGAAAGTCTGTTATTTGTGCATTAATTCATATTTAGACAAACTAAACACAGTGCTTAAGAGTTCACAGAGTTCTTAGTTGATAGTCACTCCTCATATCTTTGCTACTGGTCGACGTATTTAAACATGAATTATGCTAATTTTAAACCATTAGTCCAAGTTTCATCACCATGTGTTAATTATTTTTAGATATTTTGAAAACGTGAAATTTTATTACAAATTTCAACACTGTATTTCAAAAAACGAAGATTTTCCTGATATTCATTCAAAAGACTTACTTATTTGAACCACTCAAATTCACAGTTTTAAAGAGTGACCGCAAAAACGTGATTTTCCCCCGTTTTTTCGCAATTCGCAGAGAATTAAAAAAAGTACATAAAAACATGTTTTTGGTCGCAAATTGCTTGTCGTAATAAACTAAAATGAGCATAGCTTTTAGTATTTTGAAAATTTTAGAAATCACCCCTACTTAGGTTAAAAAAAATGCCAAAAATGAAGAATTATCATATTAGAATATTATCAATTGATATAAAAACTATTAGAATATGAATTATCTTAATATATTTTTTTTGGAATTTTTACCATTTTTTCTGATGTTCTCTATTTTTGGGGATGATTTCACCCCCTGGGTGTGCTTAAGGGTGGATTTTCTAATTCAGCATGATTCAGCTCATTCAGCAGTCATGAGAATAAATCTCTTTGTATCAAGAATCATTCGATAGAAAAATTCACATGCTAATAGTATTTTATATTTATTGGTAATTTTCAATTCTTCATTTTGGGCGCCTTTTCAACCCCTAAATAGGGGTGATTTTTGAAAATTTCCAAAAAACTAAAAGCTATGCTCATCTTAATTTTTTACGACGAGTAATTTGAGACCAAAAACATATTTTTATCTATTTTCTTTGGTTCTCTGCGAATTGTGAAAAGACAGGCGATTTTTGCGGTCACTCTTTGGCCTGGCCGCTAAATCCTGAACACCCTGTATAAATTTTTTTATTTCAACATTGTTGACGACAATTTCAAATAGTACATCATCCTTTGAAACATTTCGTTCAATAATAAGTTAAAACGGAAGTCTACTTTTGAACCTGCACTACATTTATTTACTTTTCATTCCAACACCTTAGTGTTACTTTGTTGTTTAAATAAAGCAATATATCGCGTAAACACGAAAAGGTGACACAATGGAATGGAGTTGATGGCAAACAATTCTTTTAGGACTACTCGGCTACTCAGAAATCCGTCAAGAAGGCTATGGCGGCCAAGCCAAATAACGCACCGGTGACGCAGGAAAAGGAGGTTAAACAGACTGTGGAGAAAACCGAAAGTCCGGCGAACCGAGGATCCACAATTACGTAAGTCGATAACGTAATATTTTAATGTGCTTTCTCGCAACACCGTAAGAATTCAGAGCACAGGCTTACTGTACTGAATACCTAATCGGTCACGTTTCATTGCGATTCCTCAACATTATATTAAAGTGCATAAGAATTTAAAAAAGTAGATGGCAGTGCCAACAGTGGCCAATAATAGCTGAAGCCTTAATCTGGAATTGTTTATGCAGGGGAATTGGAACCATAGAATTGATTGTGTATTTTTCTTTAAAGTTGCTATAAAAACACAGTTTCAATGCGCAAACCTCAACAGTTTACATCGTCTAGCGTTCGTACCTCTTTTTTTTTGCATAAATATAAGTACGGACAATCAGGCACTTTGAAATTTTCAGGAATGGATCGACCAACAAAGCAAACGAGTCCAACCCGTTCGAAGAGGAGGACTGGGAGGAGAGCGATGCACTCGTAGACAATGGAGAACCCGGCGTTCCCGTCAAGGCGCTGTACGATTACGAAGGTGCGGAAAACGACGAGCTCAGCTTCAAAACAGGTAACCTAATTTTTTATATCTAGGAAAAAAGTATTGGGGATGTAATTTTACAGGAGACGTGTTCGAGAAACTGGAAGACGAGGACGAACAAGGCTGGTGTAAGGGAAGAAAAGACGGACGTGTAGGGCTGTACCCGGCTAATTATGTAGAAGTGGTTTCCCATTAACAGCGTTGAGGGTATAAAAGAAAGTGTCAAAAATGTTATATTTTGTTGTTATTTTTTGAGAAATTTATATAAGGGGCTATTGCTCACATAAACGTAAGATACTATAGTGTGCGAATGTTGACGAGTGGTTTTGTAGCACTGTACAAATAAACATAACAGTATAACAAGTGGTATATTAATATTATTTATATTTATGCTAAATACGTAAGGCACTATTATAATTTATATCGGTCAAATTAGAGGAAATCGGTTTTCAAGTTATTTTTCGACAGGTATGTGCTTCGAAGGACCAAATCATGAGTGGGATTTAACTGTGTGGCGAAATTTTTTTAAAGATACACGTAATATGAAATTTCCCGACGTTCTATTCGGTACATAAACGAAAAGAAATTTCTTCTAATTTGGTAACTTATTTATAACTCATAGATAGAATTCACTATAACATTACATTCATGTAAATAAAAATTTGACTAAATCGAGACACTTCCAGTGGATATGTAACTAATTGTACGTATATTAGTTATAGATGTGTATGTAAATTATTAGAAAATGTTCTAAGGAAAGCAGCTTTGTATATATATTCTATTATAATAAATAAACGAGTTTATTTTAGAGTCACATTTTATTATTTTGTATTAGAAATGGATAATAAATTGTTTACACTATTGTCGTCTTTTTTTTAACATAGCCAGTGCCTGATTTTGACAATGAAGTATGTGGAATCTGTTTTTTAATGATTTCTATGCTTATGAAAACATCTACAGAACCTTCAAAAATGTTTGTAAGCCACGTGACCACTGAGCTTAGGCAACCAACATTGTTACTGATAAATCTTAGCGCTCCCAATATTGATTCGTTTACAATGAACAGTGACAAACCGTTACGTCTATGCTCGACATACTGCGATCGTTGATTGATTGAATAGAATCTCCTGAGAAATTACACCAATCACAGATGGTGAAACAGAAAGTTGTTTTATTTTTAATTTTACCAAAATTTAATCGCCAACATGAAGGGAATAAAATGACTGGTCATGTGAAAAAAATTTTGAATGAAATTTATAGTCAAAAATTAGCATAAGTTTCATCTTCACCTCTTAGACATCGAAAGAGGATGCACAACTTGCATCAAAGAAAATGATTCCTAAGACTACTGAATTAGTTAACACAATATTAATTTACGTCAAAGTGCGTCCCAGCTATTTGTGAAACATTTTCACTTAGTTTCACCCCCAACGTAATCGTTTGTTGGGGTCGTTGCTAAATCTTGAATTAACTAATAAAAATATTTTCTACCTTAAAAGATCAGTAATACATTAGTTGTATTATTTTAACCAATTTTAACAATAACTAAGATACTTTATCTTACAAAAGTATTTGATCTTTTTACATTAATAAGTTTGGTTAAAAATAAGAATTTTATAATCCTCTCTTACTCCATATATGTTAGCTTGTTACAATCCTTACTAATCTAAACTGAAACCATGAATCCATAAATGTATTCTTTTTAGAGTATTATTTACTTCATTTCGTCTTAGCTAACTTAGTCTTAGTTAGTTTCAGAAGTAAGAAAATGATTTAGTAAAAAGAATACAACTATTGTAACCATCTTAGAGCATGTAGTACATGGAGTAAGCATCGAGCCATCGAGTGTGTTAAAAAGTATAGATGCTGTAGAGAGAGAAAGAGCGATCCTCTGGATACTCTCTCTCTAATCGTTCGGGAGCCATTTGCGCTAGCTAACAAATGGCTATACGAGAGAGAATGCAAATTATCTTTTTCTCTCTCTGTAACTGTAAGCGTTCTTCTTCCATGCAGTAAATGCTCTAATGTAACGAAAGACTTCTAAATATAGACTTAAAAAAAAGATCTAAACTGTTATGTTTGTGAGTTGTAAAAACTAATGTTATTAGTTTTCTAAGTTTTGTAGAGAGAACTCCCATCTACGTCAAAAACCTCTATGGTGGAAAATTCTAGAAACCCATAGAAACAAAATAAACGGTTTTGTTCTGTGGAATTTTCACATGTTATAGGTTAAGTCAAATTTCGTTCAACAAAACAAAAACATATTTTAGTACTAGCGGCAGAGACTAGCTGTTACCACATAGTAAAATAAACTACAATTTTGAATTTTCTGAGCAAAGTTAAAACAAACCGTGCAAAATGTCGTATATGTTAGCTCATTTGCACAACGGCTGGCAAGTAGACCAAGCAATTTTATCGGAAGAAGATAGAGTAGTGGTAATTATTCTAATAAATTTAATCAAGAAATTTAGTAACTAATTTTCATCATTATTTGTGTTAATTATAACGTATGTTTTAAGGTAATCAGATTTGGACACGATTGGGACCCTTCCTGTATGAAAATGGACGAAGTCCTCTACAGCATTGCGGAGAAGGTTAAAAACTTTGCCGTTATCTATTTAGTTGATATAACGGAAGTTCCAGATTTCAATAAAATGTAAGTGATTCATGAAAATCATATTACTGTTTTACGTAGTGCATACATTTTAGGTACGAGTTATATGATCCCTGTACAGTAATGTTTTTCTTCAGGAATAAGCACATAATGATAGATTTGGGTACGGGTAATAACAACAAAATCAATTGGCCCTTAGAAGATAAACAGGAAATGATAGACATTGTTGAAACTGTGTATAGAGGTGCGAGAAAAGGCCGAGGTTTAGTCGTATCACCCAAAGATTATTCTACAAAATATCGATATTAAAGTTTTAAATTATTTATCATTTAGTCGAATAATATTTAACTGAACGTCGATTAAAAAGAAATTGTAAACTTAACAAGGTTTTTAATTTATATGTTGTATAAAAAATATGTAATAGGTTGGCAAATTATTAAAATATATTGTTTTATAAGAACTGTCGATAATTAACTACTGCTTGCGTTATTCGATTCTGCATTATTCGTTTCTGAAACTAACTGAACTAATTCTCTCGAACCAAAGGTGTGAGTTACTGCAAAAAGCAAATATGTAATTTTATTCCATTAACATACTAAAAATATTTGTATACTCACCGACATCAATATTTTGAAGGTCGAATACAGTGAAATTATTAGATTTCTTATCCCCTCCTAGTGTAATAACAAATGGTGAATCTGGACACAACTCCAAGCAGTGAATGCTGCCCATATTGAACTCTTTCTCGTGAACTAATCTCGGCACCGTTTCTTCCGAAAAGTCCCAGGTCTTGACCGTTTCATCTTGAGAAGCCGTAACCAGTAAACCGGGGCACTGCCCACTGACAGCTAATCCTGTTACTTCCTTCGAATGGGCTTCTAATGACCACAATTGACCTAAAAAATAAAAAATTTAAATCTTTGAACAATCAAAAACGGTTTAAAATACCTTTCCTACAATCGAAACCTTGTACTGACCCCTTATTTGTACCGACCAAAAACATAAAAGGTTGAAGCGGGTTCCAGATTGCCCTTTCTGCCTCACCGTCTATCTGCCATGTTTGATAAGTGTTCGGCGTGCGGCAATCAAAAACTTTTGCTGTATTGTCACAACCACCTAAAAAAATATGCAGTGAATATTATTTTATATAATCCATTGCGATTTTAGAAACAATACCTGCCAGTAACGTTTGCGCTTCAAGCCTGTGCCATTCTAAGCACTGAACTTTCTCTTGAAAAGCATTTATCGTTGTATTTGGTGTTTTTTTCTCCAAATCCCACAACAATATACTCTGATCGACTGATCCACTCGCCATAACATGTTCATAAATTTTATTCCAAGCCAGAGCTAGTACCGCATCCGTGTGGCCAATGTGAGGACGATTCTTTTTCACACTTGCCGGCCTGCCTAATGTAAAGGATGGTTCTACTACATTCATTAAATCAATGTCCCACACTTCTATTATAGGAGACATCGAGCCAACTGCACAGTAGTTGCCAGAAGGCATTTTAGGTTCGTAGTTTAGCCATTCCAAACACAGAGGGAATGAAGGCAAAATTAAATCGTGATGAACGTACAAGGACTCTTCTATTTCATTATATACTGAGAAAATAAAATAACCCGTTTCATTAACCGACTAAACTTTTTCGAAAAAACTTTCACTTACTATATACTTCTAGAATACTTGCATCTCCTTCGACATGTCCCACTAAAATTAAATTATCAGTTGGCTTAATAACGTCATCTTCTTTCTCCGAATCATCCGATTCTGAAAAATTATCCTCAGCTTCTGTTGGTAATTCAGCTAATGAACTTATGCCAAGCACTGAGGCTGTGTTAGCTTCATCTAAAAATTGATATATTTCTCAAATGTAACAAATAATTATTAATAATATTTACCATCCTCGTCATAATTTTCAAAGTTATACGTATCAGCAGTAGACGATTCTCCTTCCATTGATTCATCCTCAGTCCTGTTCTGCGTCACACTGAAAATATTTTTATTTAAACATTACATTCATTAAATTGATATTCAATTATACTTTAGCTTTTCTTTTGTATCCTTAATGATTTGTATCAATTCTTCTTTAGACAACTGTACCTAAAAAAGAATAAATAAGCCAAGTTAATACTGCATTTTGCAGTTTTATACCTTTGTTGGGTTTGTATTAGCTACGCCTCGTTTGACCCATCTCACGCAAGGAACAAAATTAATATTATTTGAACAATTTTCTTCCATTTCTAATTTTTGTACATAAATGTCAAATACACGTGCCGGTATGAATTTAGGTTAGAATTTTTATCTATCTGTCATTTGTTTGACGTTAATGTCAATCTAAGACCACATAGCAAAATTAGATTGTTGACCCATTGATCTTAATACCTTTCAAATTTCTTTATCTTCAGATTCCACCACCAGAGGCCGTCAAAATAGTTGTTAACTTATTGTTAGATATAATATGCACAATTACATGATATGATAAGAGAAAATATGAACATGTTCCTCATCTCATTTACCCTGTCCTGCTTTTGCCATAAATAAACTATGGAATAATTTGGAAATGTTTTAATATTGTTTTATAATCGAAATAAAACATTTTATTATTAATTGTTACGAATACATATTTACAACAACTTAACTAAAGATCGGCCATACAGTACGTAAAGAATACTTAATTTGGGGACAAATTAAAAGGTTTAAATATATATGTACTTTTTCCATTGAAATATCAACAAAATTAGTGAAAGCTGCAATACTGGTTGCCTATACAGTCCTTTTGTTATCTTGCCACTTTGTTGTCATGTCGTTCTGGTTCACATGTCATTAAAAATGTCATGTTAGTGAGTGTCAGTTGTCCTTTCCTTATTATTCGTCGAGTTTGTGGTTGTGTTAGTGCAATTATATCTCGTCGCTCTGTAATTAATACGCGAATAATGATATTTAGCAGTCGTATAATAAATCTGTGCTGTTAAACGTCGTTTTATTAAGAAGATCATGTAGAATAATTAAATACAAATATATGTTTAAAGTAAATAATGAACGGTAGTTTCAATTAGAATAAAAAATGAGTGCAATATTAAAACATGTTAATTACATAGGATGTTATAGGATACTTATAGTTTTTTTGGGAGTGTGGCTTGTAACTTTGGTTATTTCTGCATTTCCTATGCTAAACACCGGTATCACTTCTACAGATAGCAAAACTACTGAAAGGTTAACAAGAGCATTAGCTGATTTAGATGTCCTTCGTAAACAAAATGAAGAACTTCAAGAGATTTTTAAAGATATAAGTGCAAAGTAAGTAATTATTGGTAAAGCGCCACAAGGCTTTTCTTTTAATTGATTTTATTCATAGTAATTTAAACGAAGAACAGAAAGAAGCCATTGAGAACTTTCAGTCTCGTTTAACTAAAGTAGAACACACATTTAACTCAAACAACAACATAGGGTATATTAGTCCTAAAGAAGAACCCAATACTCAATATGAATTACTAAGACGAAGAATTTACTCCAATACTCAAGAATTGTGGTATTTTATACATTCAGGATTACTAGATATTCAGAAAAAAGCGAATGAAGTAGCCCCCGAGATTGTCGATTCTATATCTTACCTATTAAATTTAGGCTTCGAGCACAAAAGGTTTGGTACTGCACACGACTTTTTCAAACGGCATTCTAACTACGAAAATGTTATTTAGGTCTCTGATCTATGACATCGAACAACTGGCCGAGGTTGATGGTTATGCAACATGGAGGGAGAAGGAATCTAATGACTTGAGCAATCTTGTCCAGGGAAGGTTCAGGTATTTGCAAAATCCAGAAAATTGCAATACTGCCAAAAAGTTGGTCTGCAATTTGAATAAGGTAAGCAAAAAATTAATATAAGTTTAAATGATGTAGATGATACAAAACTATAATATTTGAGTAGTGTGTGGTTTTTAAGTTAATTGTTTTTGTTATTTTTTTAATATAAAATGATTAGTTCAACTCTTTGGTAATTTATGCCATTAGGTTTTGGACCACCCTGTATTTACTAATTTAATTCACACCCCAACTGTAAGATTTTATGGGACATATTTATGTAAAGGTTCATTCACCTTTAGAAAGGAATGATACAGCTATTTTTATATTCTAACATGGTCACTGGACCATAGGCTTCATTAACTATAATTTTTTTAGCATTTTTGATGTTCACTTCATTCGAGAGTTCACCTGTGATTCAATCAATAACAATTATAAATATTCTGACATATGTACTTCGTACAAATGTATTTTCTACAGTTATGTCATAAAGAAAAATTTAATATTTAAATTAGCACAAAAAATTACCAATGAAAATTTTTATGATAAGTTAAATGGTAGTAATTAGTTAAGTAAAACGTTTTATTTTTCTAAGTATTACTGCTTTGTGATAATATAAATATGCATTAGTTTGCAGATATACCAGGTTTGATCATAAAGTAACGGGAATTGTTAATTACTTCAGTAAATATTTATTTAATCTTTAATTTTTATTCCATTCCCTTCAAAGTAGCCCCCCTGTGATATTATAAACTTATGACAACGTAGTTTGCAGTTTGAGAAACACCTCTTTAGGTGTTGTCTTGAGCACGATTTGCGGTTTTGCCTTTATCTCATCAATTGTCTTTTGAGTTTGGGAAGTTGAAAAAAGTTGCAGGGATTATGTCCGGAGAATAGGGTGAGCAGTGCTGTGTTTCGCTAAGAATGTTGGATATGCAAAGCGGTATGTGCCGGCGTGTTGTAGTGCAAAATCCACGAGTTGTCTCTCGTTTTTTTGTCGTTTTATCCTGATTGCCTCGTGTAAATAAACAAAAAAAGAATCACGCGATAGACGAGACACAGCTCGTGCAATTTGAAAATTTCCGTTACTTTTTAATCAGACCTACTTAATCATTTCTGATAAAACAATCAATATTCAGTAATTACCTTTTTTATATCTAGGTTATTTGTTTAAATAAACAAATACTTTTGCGTTTTAACAAGCTTGTATTTTCAATGTTATAACTAAATTAATGACCAGAATGCATAAGAAAACGTAATTATTTTTTTATAATTAGTTAAATTTTTTGTTTGACGAAATGCTTGACAACCCCATTATTCACCTTAGGGATGCGGATACGGCTGTCAGCTGCACCACGCCGTGTACTGCTTCATGGTTGCGTACGGCACCAAAAGAACCCTGATACTGAAATCCAAAGGGTGGAGGTATCACAAAGCGGGCTGGGAAGAAATTTTCAGACCCGTTAGCGAAACTTGCACCACCCCCAGTGGAGAAAGTGTGGCTAATTGGCCTGGGAATCCCGATACCCAAGTTATTAACCTGCCCATAATAGATTCTTTGTCCCCCAGACCTCCATTTTTACCTTTAGCTGTGCCCGAGGATCTGGCACCTCGGTTGACGAGGTTGCACGGCGATCCTATTGTTTGGTGGGTGGGACAGATTTTGAAGTATCTGTTGCGGCCCCAAGAAAAAACTGCTAATAGGATACAGGAGACTATGACTAAAATGGGATTTAGAAGGCCCATAGTGGGGTGAGTGTCCATATAACCTTGTCTAATTGTATTTATTAAATGATTTTCTGCGGAAATTATGTTTTGTTCTTAGAGTGTAGCAAAATCTTTATTCTTGATTGCATTTTTTGAGAAACAATTTGAATTCAGATATGCAGTTTGCATTGTAAATTTTATCTCTTATCTCTCGTTTGCATTTCTCGAATATTAAATAAACAAATTACAAAGTTCTTTTTTTAAATGAAGTGTTTAAATATCGAATACAAATCAGAATTGCTGCTATTAAATAATATATTTATCGAGGTTTAAAAGCTTTAGATAATAATATTTACCCGTGATTATATTTACATTAGCTAATCAGCTTTATCCAGTGTATTCTATCTGTATAGCATTAAGTTTATTATAATCGAACACTTCTCTTATTATCACAATTTCAAACGAAAGGTTTTTTGGTGGTTTAAAATATTAATCGATCTTAATTTTTCATAAATATTGGTGAAATAAAACCCAATAAATTGAATTTATAGATAATCCCAACTTATTATTAATCTGTTACTGTTTCTGTGTTTACTATGACAGCTTTATTTTTTTATAAAACTGATTATAGAAGTCCTTAATATTATTTTATTTTTTGTTTCATGTTTCATTGATTTATTTAAAAAAGCATGTTTCACAAAAAATAAATTAAGAGAATGTAAATACATATTATCAACACATTTAAACACTATCGTAAATATATTCTGTGGCAAACAGTGTGGTTAATTTCTGATAAAAAAATGTACAAAATTTTATGAAGTACACGAATTTTACATTTTACTATGGTCTAAAAATTCACTTCTGTGGTCTCTTTTTATTAGAGACGTGCCGCGAACATGTCAGCTGGACATGTCCATCGGACATGTCGTGAAAAGTGGACATGTCGTGAAAAGTGGACATGTCTTGAGAACACTTTTCAAGACTGAAATGCGCGGAATTATTTGTTGCATTCATAATTCCCGCAAAAAATTTTTGAGTACATGTAAAGTTAAAGATATTTAGCTTAGATTAGAAAAATCCATTTTCTTGTAATTTTGTTGGTAATTGTTTAACTGAAACTGACATTTTAAAAATATAACCTCTTATATTAATCAAAAATATAATAAACAATAAATAACATTTAATAAGACAAATATTCATTAAAAAAATTGCTTTGTGGACCCACAAGCAGTGACTTGTGAAAACATGACGTCACTCATAGGTGCCTTATTAGATTCAAGGTCAAAAGTACTTTACTCGACATGTCCGGACATTTCATCGACATGTCCGTAACACACTTTTCTGAAAAGTGCCCATCTCTACTTTTATTATAAATATTAATAATCACTTTTAATGTGATTATTTCACTTATTGTTTATGATGTACTGACTGAATCTTAAAAATGAACATATATTTTAACTGTAGGTAGAATGAATTAGGAGTTTGCCAAATTATGTGTCAGGAAAATTAGTTAGATTAAACGCAGATTAAATCTATTCCACTACAACAGATTCTAGTTCAAAAAATAGTAACCGTTTGTAAACGCCGATTAATATAATTTATGATGTAATCTTAACCTAGATTTTAACTTGATAATAAAGATAACACTAAACAATTGAAAAATTATTTTTAACATGTTTAAACATCACTGCAAATTTTAATATTACCCAAAAAGTAAATTTAACAACTAAGCGCTTACATAATTACTTATTTAATAGTAAAATATCTTAGGGTACACGTTCGCCGGACGGACAAAGTTGGCACCGAAGCCGCTTACCACAGCATCGAAGAATACATGTCGCACGTGGACGAGTACTTCAGTCACCTAGAATTGAAACAGAACATAGACAAACGTAGGGTATACTTGGCTTCTGACGACCCGAAGGTCCTGAACGAAGCCAGAAGTAAATACCCCCATTACGAGATTATAGGCGACCCGTCGATATCAAAAACCGCAGCGGTGTCGACGAGGTACTCGGATTCTTCTTTGTTCGGAATCATAATGGACATCCACATGCTGTCTATGAGTGACTATTTAGTTTGCACTTTTTCCTCACAGGTAAGCGAGCCATATTTTCCAACATTTGTTTATTTCTACCAAGGTTTTAAATAAAACGGTGATATTTTAAAACAATCTCAGTTGGAGATGCATAATTTATATTTTACAGTTAGTTGTTGTGACCTAGTTAGGACATTTCCTGTTTGAATATATTGGGAAGATTTCAAGGTTCACACATGCCTATTGATGTGTTTGTTACAGAAATAAAATTCTCTTAAACAACTTTTTTAAAGGATTTGTTATTTTTTTTATAGGTATTACCTAGTTCGTTTATCAAAAATACATTTATGATCACCTGTTGACTTTCTATATTGGCCCGCAACTTTTATTGTTCTATTTTTACAACTGTTTATTTAAGATTATTAGTTCCACTAAAACTGTGCAAATATATAATATAATTGAAATTGATAAGTGTTATCACTAATGGAGTAGCTGAAAGGAGTGTTTCTGAAAAATGGTGCTGAACTGAAATGAAAGATAAAAATATCGATTTAAACGAAACATGGGTCGGAAAATGCCCGGTAAAAATGTGACAGAGTGGTAAAAGCTCACTACCTATCACATTTTTTTTAATAATTTCAAGATCGCAGAAAATATACTTAGCCGTTTTCAGAAAATAATAGTCTTTAACGCTAACGTTCTCGACAATTTTTTCTTTCTTGTCTCTTTAAGAAAAATATATAATTTTACCAAAAATGCATTGCACGGACATTTTTTTGGACAGAAATCTCTCGGTTACCTCCCTACATCTCCGCCAAAACTTTCCTGTATAAATATTAATAATCTAAACATCTGTGCGTAGTTCAATTTGTATATTTGATTAGCTGTTAATGAAAAAATATATATACAGCATGTAACATCTTCCTAAACCGATAAACTGAAAACTAAAATAAATGTATTCAAATAAAGCGATGATATATTCGTCTATCTCGTCATTGGCCATTTGTTTTTTACCCACCTAATACCCTGTTGTCATATCTCATCAGATGGATAAATATTATGTAATTCAACCGGAACTAGATTATTGTTGGAGGTCATTGACACTGAGATTCACAATCCAAACAAAGTGCTTTAAAAAATAGCATACTTTTTATTAGAAACTTGAAATTATTTCAAAAGAATATTTTAAATGTAGTTGTATTTAAAGTTACATTTCCTATATCCTGTTTCAGTACTGTATTTTGAAAACCCCCTGTATAACCAAGAATTTTTAAACTAGAAAAAATGTTTAAGAAAATCATATTTTTTTTTTATCGAATTTTCGGTAATGTGTGTATATTATTGACTATTTTATCAGAACAGGACGTAATAGTCATTAAAAGAACTCATTAACAATGATTTATTTAAAAAAATAACAGTAATGGACCATATCTTATCAGCAGAAACAGTTATGTACTTTGTTTAATGATAAACTAAAGCAATGTTGGCCTGTAGAACAGTTACCTCTTTTTAAATTGTGTACTATTTGCAATTCTTATTAGTACGTTATTTAAATATACAGGTGTATCCTCGTATACTCATTATGTGATAAAGTAAAACCTGTTTTTGTTTGTCTTTTACCTTTTGCAATGTTAAACACGAATGATTAAAAAATACATATTTTTAAATAATGCTTATTGTAACGTAATTTTTAGGTCTGCAGGGTGGCGTACGAAATAATGCAAAATTACTACCCGGACGCCTCTTCCAGGTTTAGGTCTTTGGACGACATTTACTATTACGGCGGCCAAAACGCACACAACGTCGTAGCCGTGTGGCCCCACGAACCCAAACGGAACGGAGAAATGACCATAGCGGTCGGCGACTTAATCGGGATAGCAGGCAATCACTGGAACGGCTTCAGCAAGGGACGAAATCTCAGGACGAATCAAATCGCATTCTACCCAAGTTTTAAGGTTAAGGACAAAATTGAAACCGCTAAATTTCCAACTTATTCAGAGATTTACAAACAGAAGGAAAACGAAGACTAATTTCATCTCGGTACGTAATTGTCTCTCAATTGTTTCGATTTTTTTTGCTAGTCTAATTTCTCGAATCCAGAGAAAGTCCTTGGATACTCTTTTTTTCCAACATTTAATTAAGTAAATTTTTTTTTTTCACACGTTTGTAAATATTTTATCTTTCATAGCTTTAACGTCATAAGTTGACTGAATCAAGAATTTTATTTTTAAATAGTAACAGTTGTGCCCGAATACTCACTTTAAAACAGGTAATTTATTTATTTAGAGCGCGTTTTTATTATGTAAATAAACCATTCCTAGTGGTTCAAATAGAATGTTTTGATCCGTGTACATAAGTCGGTTAAAGTACGGTGAACGGATACGAATATCGGTAGATATAAAATATGCCCGGCAAGGTTTGCTTTGGCGTCATATCAAAATAAACGGTCGAAATAGGTGGGTGGTCAGTCTCAGAAGCGACAAAAAAATGACGTTAATTGTTCCTTTAGCATTTGAAGGATTTGAATGTGAGAATTTTTTAAATGACTGTCAGGTGGTTGCGAGTCGATTTTCTGATCACGTTTTGTCTATTCTTGAGTTTCTGGGATCTGAGAACGGGAATTTGATCTTAGTCGTCGATGATTTTGGTTTTACTGAAAATTTTATAGAATTTTTTTTTTGTCGTTAAAGTTGAGGAATTTATTTTTAACGGGGTGTAGATCCTGTAAAAATAGATAATTGCACCAAAAATTGACTATATAAAAGCAGCAAATTAATGAAAATAGAAAACTTGCCGATATAATTGTTGTCGTAATGCGTTTGCATAAAATTCAAATTTGTCATCCTTGGTTTAACGTGCAAAAATTCTTGTTTTAAATTTTTAAATGGTCTTGAAAAAAAATCACGAGGATCATCTTTTTCTCGTCGGTTTTGACATTTTTTATAATTTCTTCAACCTTTCTGGTCATATCCTGCTAGTTATTTCTTTAAACACTGTATCAATATGCCTTTTAAGTAATATAACGAACCTTCATGGTGTCGGATGATTTTTTAACCGAAATCTTTTCGTGAAATGCTACGGTTGCACTTTGTCAGCATTCCCTGTAAATTAAAAGCATTGCTACAAGTTTATTGTTTTCAAAACGTGGCATTGTTTAAAAAATGCACAGAATAGAAAACTGCATTGAGAAAAATGCAATTTATCGTATGCATTTAATACTGAGACCATCTTTATGCGATAAATTTGCGTACAACCGTTAAAATAGAAGGAGGGCAGGACCCTACTTAAATTTTATAAACATTTGTATTATCAATATTATTTATGAGTGATTTTTGGTGAAATCACCCGGTAGTTTTTTTTAAATGGAGCTAATTTCCTCCAAGAACTAAAATCAAATTCAATTTCAAAGATCTACAGTATAGACCAGAAAATCTAGCCCGAAAATGACCATTTCATACATGATTCTTCGGTCAGGTTGATTTTTTGTGAGCAGATAGTAAAAACAGTGTAGAATAATATGTACCGTATCCGCACGCTGAAAAAGCGGGCGACATTGTTTAAAAGTTGATCAAACGTTAGAAATTCGTGTTTTTCCACTGTAACTTTTTTTGTGGCGGTTCTACAGAGAAATGGTAAAATAGTTTTTTATTCGTCTCACAAAAAATCAGCCTGACCGAAGAATTATACACACATACCGCTGTATTTCCTGGTCTAAGTAAGGAGAGGTGGACTAACTGAATGTTCGTCATCAGACGTTTTGAATTATTGTTCATATTTAATCAGGGGCGATTTGAATTTGAATTCGTACTTTTTTATACTTTCCATGACACTTATATCCCTCAAACTGTTTATCGAAACTTGTTATTTTAATTGTAATGTATATTTTAAATCTGAGTTATTATTATACATAAAGAAATACATATATTTATACTTAATGTGCAATACAATAAAAATAAACATGTTGCCAACATTGTTTTCTTACACGTTTCTATTGTGAAATATGTTTTTCGACAGTGTGTAATCTAGTAAAGTAGCGGGTAAAAGCAAGTAATAATTTGTGATTGCTTTTTCTTTCTTTTTTATCCTGAAGACTTGTGAATTATCTCTTTATAATAAAATATTTTTATAAAATCGGTGTTTTTATTACTTGAATTTCCCATGATATAAAAACGGAAGTTTTATTTATTTTATCAAATAATTTATTATTTCCTTATCTAAAGATTTGTTTATGTATGTATATGTGTATGTTATTGCTCGTTACACGTGGACACGATGCTCATTTGAATTTTCGTTTCAATACTTTTTTGAGAGTATTTAGATTTACTACATATTTAGTAGTGATGGGAATAATCGAATGAATTAAATAATCGAGAGGTTACTTTTCGAATTAATTTTATAATCGAATGATCATTCGAATGAATAATCGAAAGTTCACTTTGAAAATTTCCGGTCTATCCCAAATCATATGCGAAACATGTTGACGTTAGGTAAATGAATGACTGTCGCGGATTGGGGCATTTCTTCCATATTTCTTCATTGCCAGTTGAGTGATTCAGCAGCATGTGTTTAAAATGAGTAGTCGCCGCCTAAAGAGGTCCATTGTTTGAGATTTTTTTGAAAAAAAAAAATTATATAGAATTTATAGAAAACATAATTTGGTATTATTTTCATTCAAATGAATTTTTATCCCCGCTAAATAAAGCTCCCATCTAACCCCCCGCGATGCCACTCATAAAATTCCTGCATACCTTTTTTCTTGTATGTCGGTGATATTCGATTGTCTCATCTATCCTCTCGGCCGTCTTATCTCGAGATGTTGTAGCTCGTTAGAGCGTTGGAACAATCGAAACATCTGCGCACTCGCTCGAGTAGTGCACGTAATAGTAACGCTGTGGCCACTGTCATTCGTATCCGAATAATCGAATGATTCTATATGACCACTCGAGATATCTCGAGAGATTTTCATAATCGATATAATCGATAATTTTCATTCAAGTAGTCCCATCACTAATATTTAGTAGGTGTTCGGTATGGTTAAATTATCTATGGTGGGTTTGTAGCTGCAAAAAAGTATATACACTTCAACACTCAATTGTATGTTGTGTTGCCTATCAACCAATTTTTTTCCCAAATAGAATAGATCTAAATGTACCTCTGGGACCGATTCTTTTTGTAGGATTCAGTGTATAAATTCAGTGATTCCACATCCTCCGCCAGAGGTCGCTACGGTCTCTCTGATCTGATAATTGTAGGAAACCATAATCAATAATCATTGCCAGATTGACCAATTTGTCACAAAGTAGATGATTTTTCATTCTGCATGAGAAGTAAATTATACACATAAAATACCAATTTAGACCATATCATTTGAAAATTTTTAAAGACACAAGGGCCGGTTTATTTCATCTATTAAATTTATGTCAGATAACATATATCTGTCTCATGAGGTACACTTGCATAAGAAAATGACAGACAGATTTGCTGATAATTATGTTAGGTTTGGACTCATTAAACACTGCTCAAATATATATTATTTCTTTAATTTTCTTAACAGTATCACACATACATTATTACATTATAAACGACGCTATGTTGTTAACACATAACACATAAAATATAATGGAATCTCTATGGTTTATCTTGAAGGTATTTTTGTTATGCAGCTTAAAATACACTAAATCTTAGTGTATTACATATCCATGTATGTGTATGTATGTACATATCCATCGTAGGGCGCTAGTGTTGAAATTTCCGAAAAGTCCCCGCGGTATGATTGGTTGCCTAATAATAACATTATGTCAGTATGTCTACCCGATCCTGCTATGACCGCCATTAGTTTCTTTGAGGTTAAGTTTTCGTTTGTAGTGGTACGTATTTTCGTTGTGTTATATATATTTTTGTTAATTTAAAAATTATTTTTTTTTGTTATATGTATTTTAAACTAATATATTTTTTATATTAATTTTCTTTTTTTTTGTTACTACAAATCTTATAAATAGTGAAATCTTGCAATATACATATGACGATTACATTTTGTACTTAACAAAATTGATAAATAAACTGGTATTTTTGCATATTATACATTACTATTTATTTATTGTTACAAGATGAGGTCCATCAATAATTTTACCAAAAGATTCATAACATACATTCGTAAATACGGAATGGAAATTTATGGGCTCAGATTTTAAAGAAGCCTGAAACTCAAGTTAATGTATTAGTTTGTTCAGTGGCAAACTATTTTCAATGTATAATTTTATGTATAGAAGTTCTATATTATTATTTTTTTAATTTTTTCAATTCAAATAAGAATCTCTCTTTCAGATTAGAAAAACCGTAAATATTCAAAGCTAATGGTGGGAAATGCAGTGGTAAAACACTTTCGAGATGAAATTTGAAATTCTGTAACTATTGAAATATTCATAACTTTTAGGCCCAGTTTTTAATTGTTGGTTATCGCCATATGAGTAACTAAATAATGATTATCGCTAACTAGCAGTTAACCCTGACTTTATTTTCTTCTATTGAAATTAAGAACAATTTCCTCCAAAATTGAAGGTTAACTTAATCAAAAATGTATTTGTAAATTAGCTTTTAATTGTATATTACTATCACGAAATCTTCATTTAAAAGTGTTCAAGTATGTGTGATTGAAAAACTGGGCCTTATTAAAGTTATGCGACATATAGGATTATATTAGTTATGATAATTTAAAATTTCTCTTTTATTTTATTTCTGCATTTTTCATCGTTAGTTTTGTATATTTATGGTTTTTCTAATCGTAAAATTAATAATTTTATCACAGAAATATATTGTCTTCTATGTGTAATAGATGGCGCTAAACTGATTAATGAAGTGACCTATAAATTGGATAAAAAGTTAGGTACATATCCGTTGGATGGCGCTGTACGATAAATAAATTCTCCAACAAAACTTCACTACTGCAGTTTCCATTATATTTTAAGTGTTATGTGGTTGTTAATATTAAATTGCCTATGGTTGTATTTCCTATTACCATTGAACACTGAACTAAAGAGTACATCACGGATCACACAATAACAGAGCTGTAACAATTCAATTTATTTGACAGTTGAAAAGACGGCCCATTATTTATAAATCAACAAGTATATGGAATTTCGAATCATAATTGTATGATATTATTTTATTAAAACAGGTTTTAGCTACTAGCCTTGTTCACCTCTGTCAATTTAATTAATGAATCTGGCAACATTGAAGGAATTGCTCATCTCACAAAAATGCGAAAGCAGAGATAAGGAAGACTAGACAAAGAGCACGAATTCATACGGAAAAATTGACCAAATTTGATACTCGCCATTATTCCATGGCTAGAAATTGGCCTCAATGATTTGGGATCGAGGGGGATTATCCCTCTTTTTCCTGCCTCATCTCGTGTAGGCCTGGACAGCCTTCGTAGGTGGGCCCCATCCGTCGTCTACCCCGACCGCAAATGCGGCCGGTGTAGGCGCTTTGTGGGACCTCCTTTTGTCCTGGCTGGGCCCCGCCGGCTAGGGCCTTTTCTTCTGGCGCTCTTCTTAAATTTGATACTGTAATAGTAGAAATTACTTATAATATTTACCGCTAGGGTCGCCAGTACTCTTCATACACAGACATATTTCATTATTTCCCGCGGCCGGTAGACCGTAGATTAGCTGTGCTTGTACGGAGGATTGGCATCCTCTTGGATTGTTTGTGCAGGTATTGTAGGGTGGAAGAATGTTGGCTTGGGTCAATGTGAGAGATTGACACCGGTTGGCATTTGACCACCCCCCTAATTAATGAGGTTTTCCAGGTTTCCCTCATTCCTGCACTGAATGGTGGTTAGGGCCTACCAACATAAGTCGTTCCTGGGCGCAAATGCGGCCTGCCTAATAATAATATGCCGCCTCCTCTCCCGCACAAGTCTCCGACTTATGGGCTAATTCTGGACCTTGCAATATTTGAATTTGAAAATTAGGTAGGTAGTTATATTTTAATAGCTACGCAATAAAAAACTGTTGTTACTTATTTTTGAACCAATAGAATGTTTAAATCTGAGATTCCTGTTATTTTTAAATTACCCACGTAAAAATTTGTCTGCCAAAAATATATGAAATATTTAGTAGCTGGTGCCGACCCGATCCTGATTTAGCGGTTTCTAGCGGTTTTAAAATGTCAATCTGGCGGGTACTCGTATCCGAGAGTTGGCAACACTAGCTCCTTTTGATGTTTCCATGGGACTGATGCCGATGTAAGCATGTTGCCAGTTGCCACTGCAATAGACTAAAATATTCCAAAAATTACTACATAAAGCGATGGATTTGTAATTTTCATTTCAGTAAGTTAATTAGGTATATTTAATTTATGCAATTTAGGACTTAAATGAGGTTAAAATGAAAAAAAGAAGCAATTGGGGTCCCATATTTTCACCTTTTATTTTCATTTTGTGACGTTGGAAGAAACATCACTGGACGAACCCTCTTTATTTCGCATCTAACTCATTTTTTTAATCCTTATAATGTAAGTGTAATGCTAAAATAGAGTAGTACTAATAGTATAATGATAAATAATATAATAAAAGTACTGATTTTATAATATTAATACAAAATGTGGATATTTTTTGTGGTAAAATGTTAATACCAATTGAAACAAAATAACGGGACAGCAGTTTTTTTCTAATATAAGCTATACCTGTCCTGTACTGCCCCCTTCTCGTTACGTTCATGGATATGGCCTTATAAGACTTGCTCAAACTTAAAATTAGGTGAGTAGGTATGCCGAATAATTTGTTTCTAATGGGACACAGTCCGTAGGTTAAGTTTATTTTAAAGAATGTATACGACAGTGAATATGTACAATATGTATTCAAGAGTCATATAATAATCAAGAAAGAGAATAATATTTCAAATTGACATACAGGTACATACAAAGTACTTATATAAAGCCACGAATTGCTACATTAAATGAAATATTTACAGTAATAATAAATACTTACAACAGTAATAAATAAAAACATCAATAAACAAAGAATAATTAATGCTCAATGAGACACGTTTATTGAAAATTCATTCAGTTGTAAAGTTGTAAATGTTAGTCTTACAGGATGGATAAATATGGTAGATTGTTTACTCAGTTTTTTAGTTTTCGGATCCTATCAAATTTATTCCATATTCTAATAATTTATAAATGGAAATAAAACACAATACTTAAATTAGAAGCAAAAACCAAAAGGCTAGATTTATTTAAATTTTGAGAATTCTTTTATTTTTTAAATAAATATCTACTAATATAAAGTAATATAAAAATCGAAGCTTACAATTATAGGGCACTATTTGGTCAATATAGTTTCTTCATTCAAGTTAAATAGTAGTAATTCTATTTACAATATGCAAAAATACTACCTACTTTCTCTACTGATCTACACTTGTTTTGTTCGTATTTTATAAATACATTTGTTGTGTTGTATTTCATGGCAATATCAACTTGGTTCTACTATCAGAAGTCTCCAAACTTCTTGAACGAAGCATCGTGGCAAACTGATTCAAGCAGAATCCGAACACGACTCCAATAATAAAACTACCAAATATTGCAATGAAGGAACCAACATTTACATCAAAATTCATCTTGGCCTGCTCAGACTCTTCGTAATCTTTAGGTTCCACCACTTTTTCTTCGGTGTTGTCAACTTCTCTTTCCAAAATATCAGCATATTCCTCGTCGTTCGTATAATTATCCAAAATTTCGTTATCTTCAATATTGAACGGTGAATTCGGTTCGTCCAACAAAGTCTCATTTTGTTCTTTTACTAGGGAGTAAGGTTTGTCCGCATCCTTAACGTCTAAGCTGTCTTCTTTTTCCTCTTCCTTTAGTTGCTCCTCCGCTTCAATGATAAAACGGTTTTCCTTGAACGCTGACAAGTCTTTGGTGACGGGGTTTTTATTCACGCATCTGGTTTTGAGGTGTTCAATATTTCCGTTTTGGTAAATGTTCACGAACGTTCCTTCAGTTGTTAAACACTGGTAAGGATCTGCTGTGTCAATAAACTTTCTTCCGGCAAGGTACTCGAATAGCTGGATGTTCTCACAACTGCAGTCCCAAATGTTGTAAGATAATCGTACGAAGAAAGAGTTTTTATTGACGTTTTCAAATACTGCTGGGTCTATAGACTTTATATTGTTCTGTTGTAACAGCAGCATCTTCAAATTGGGTAAATACTTGAGAGAGTCAACTGGAAGAGACGTCACCTTTGAGTTTGCTACTGCCAGTACCTCCAAACTCTTGGATATAATCTTCGGCATGTCCCCGGAGAAGTGGTTGTTGGAAATATCCAACAAAATCATATTCGGAAGGTCCTCTATTAAGTTCTCGGGGATACTATTCAGCAAATTGTCCCCCAAATACAATTCCTGCAGGTTCTCCATCTCCTCAAAAGCCTCGCTGTCCAGGTCTAATAGTTCCGTGTTGTTCAAGTACACCTCCTTAACCCTGTCACTTTTATCGAAACTGAAATCGTCGTTATCAATCATATTGATCTTGTTGCCAGAGAGGTCTATTATAAGGGGGTCGTTTATCAAACTCTCGAAGCTGGGGACGCTTTCCAGGTCCGTTTCCATGCAGAGAACAGCGGAATCGGTGCAGTTGCACATGGAGGGGCAGCCAGATTCGCAGGCTGAGATCAGGGCAGCCAGTAGGATGAAGTACTTCATTCTGTTCATGTTGGCACTCTGGAAATAACGTTATATTCGTTGTTTATTATACTTTTACAAAAACAGATAACATGTTATCGAATCTCTGAAGATTCAAATTCTTTCTGATTGAGAGTCAGAATTTCCAAGAACGATAAAGAAAATTAATCAGACTTTTAGAGTATTTACCTCCCAAAGAGATGTTGTTTTTGTATTAATCAGGCATGTCTCTCGAACCTTATTACAGTCGCCTGTATCGATAAAATGCTTTTAAATCAGAGATAAGATCATGCGGAGGGATATGGAATACCTATACTTGTTGTGTTTATTAATAACATTTCAAATAATTTCTTTATAATGTGAAACTCATTGATTTAATATCACAAACTTAGCGCAGTATGAACTAAAGATAATAAGAGAGTATTTCAAGAAAAGAATCGAAAGCGTTAGATGGCGTGGCCTATTACAGAAATCCCTCTCAAATATTTTTGTGAAACATGAATCGACTGATTTTTTAAAATATACTCGTGTATTAGGGTTCTAGGTTTAATAATTTACTATTAGATTAGATATTTTTTCCTGGTTAATATCTTTTATTCACACAATGTTTATTATATTTGCGATATCAAATTTATTAAAATCGGTGTGACAAAGCAAAAAATATGCGAGTGATCATGAGATTATAGATAGAATTTTATTTGGATAGACATTACGATTGTATCTTGTGGAATTCCAAAGTAATGCTGTTTTTAGAAAAAGCAATACATTCTATTCGAACCTCTATGATCTTCCTTAAAACAGTCGATAATTCCTTTGAGTAATCAGTGTAATAAATTGTATTACTCGAGACTTAAACTCGTAAGGTACCAGGAAATCATTCTATAATTGGAAATTATGTACCCCACAATAAATATCAGAGATAATGTCTGCCAAAAATTGTTTATAAAAAATGTGACTGTTTAAATGTCAATTATTTGATTCTCTTATATTGTCCAGGCCAGGCATTCGAGGTATTTGAAGTAATCTATTTTGTTGTTCAGAAAAATCCCAAATATTGTGTAGAATAAGAATCCGAGTTTGCCTATTCCAAAAAACCATTCAGGGGAACCACAAACATACAAAAAGAACGAAAAATTATCCATTTTTCGACATATTTTTCCCTTCAAAATACGTATGCGCGATAAAAGATGACTATTCTCGGGAACGGTAGCACTTACCAAGGCGATTTATTTTTAATTTGGTATAACAAAATGAGAGGAATACGAATATATCATTAAAAATCAATAAAATATAATAATTTTTGCACGAATTTTGAGTTTAAAGAATGAATATAAGAGTAAAACAATTTTTAAAAATTCTAAATGGTTATAAAAGTGTAAAAATAGGTATTCTATGACAACAAGTATCTCTAAAAAATTGTGTGCCCTTTCTAAACCTTAATTTAAACCCACGGTACGCGATAAACTTTTTAAAATTTTCTTAATAACATTCAATCGAAAACCACGCAATCGATCGTTGAAAAATTTTCATCAATATTTATAAATATTTACTTATTTTAAAAATTATACATTATGATTTTCTATTTTTCGCCCATTGTTAATGCAAAATTCAACTTTTTTTAATCGCAGTTGTTGTAACTTTATAGAAAATCAAATAAACAAAAAATAAACACTGACTTTTTTATTTATGGCTTAATTCAATGTTAGAGGGAAAAATATGTCGAAAAACGGGCCATTTTCATTCTTTTTGTATGTTTGTTGTTCCCCTGAATTTAGCAATGGTTTTTTGGAATAGGCAAACTCGAATTCTTATTCTACATAATATTTGGGATTTTTCTATACAACAAAATAGATGACTTTAAATATACAAATGCCAAAACCTACCGCCTGGACTAACATTAGATTATACTTTATAAAATCAAACTATAGAATAATTTTATATACATACTAATAATTTTCGTGGTGTAATAATAAAATATCGATCAATTTTCCTTCAAAAAATACAAAATTATAAATCAGTTTGTACTGCACGCATCGAGAACTTTTTATTAGGTTGTAATTCTTTATCACTAACGATACTATAATTAATCGAAAACTAGATAAAAAAACAACAAGCAACCTATAAATAATTGTTATTATAATTAACTTATAATTGAACAAAAATCAGATAATATTGCTTTTTGTTATGTAAATTAGATATTTTGTGATAAGACGTAATTATTTCTGTACACTTCTTCTACTGACCGTGATGAATTTGACACTGACACTGATTATTTATAGTTTACCTATTAGTGTTTGCTTTGCAGATCAGAGAATAATAAAAATCAGTAGCCGCTGAATAAAATGACAAAAAAAAACATTGGATTAAGTTAATTGTATTTTTCCTTTATTACCGTTGTCTGACAATCTTAGCAGTCTTAAATAAACTACAGAGCTACACGAAAAAAGAAATGTGTCTGTTTCAAAAATTAGACATAAATATGCCTATCTTTAAATATTTTGACGCGTTCAATCAGAAACCAGATCCAAAATTGCTTTACTTATCACCTTCCATTTTTTTTATGGCAAAAAATCATGCTTTGGGAGAGATCAGCATTAGGTGTAATTGTAGAAACCGACTGAAAATGACCATATTTATATGTGTTTTAATGCGCTGTGTTATCTTATTAGTGTATACCTATGTATCTTTGACAATCTTAAGATTCCAATTACTGAAACTTTTTTTCTTGCGCATGTAAAGCATCATCTACAAAAATTTGAGAGGTCAGTAACCTAAAGAACCAAATCCGGAAGAATAAGTGAAATTTTAGATTAGTTTTGTAACCGGGTTCTCAAAAACATTGCATCATTATCAGACCTCATCACCAATAGCCGATAGCAATGAACGAACGTTAATCGAAAAAATTAATCACCACCATTAATTAGTAATCACAAATTTTTGTTGTTATATATAATAAAAAAACAATCAGGTGTTCCTCCGATAATTAAAAATGAAAATAGGTTCTCTCTTGTGTCGAAATAAATGTTTAATTAGGGTCATTTTTCGTGACGAAATAATTGTTTCCCCGTTGAAAAAGTTGCGGAACAGTAAGCGCTCTTGGATGACGACTTCAGTTTTCTTGTAACTTTTATAGGCCACTACGAAAATTAAATTTCATGACAATTTTTTTCTTTCTCAGCTCTTTCATTGATTCGTGCGATTCAGATTTATCTTAGCTTCCTAGGTCTGTTGATCAGTTTGTAGACACGGCGATATATCTATCCCCAAAAAATTAAATAAGACCAAATATCTTTTGAAATAATAGAGGTAATTGGACTAAATTTGGTGTACGTTATATTGGGACAAGTGCCCATAAAATACTCTAATATAATGACTCCTGCGCAACCAGTGGTGCGGATACTGGGAAACAGTCATCAGGAACATCAGACATCGAAAATAATTATAAAGCTGTAAACATTAACACCCGGTAGCCCAAAAACAAGTTTATGACAGAGGACCATTACATTCAAACTGAAACACCCTCTGTATAATGTTTTGGCGATGCCGCAGAAATTAATAAAAAAATTGAATGTAATATTTCTTTTTTTACCGTTTGACAATAACGTATAATACAATACATATGTAGGTACTTATTAAAAAATGGTATACTACAGAAGGTGTTTTATAATAACCCCAATGTGTTCTAGACAAATAAATATTTTTCTTGTGGTCGAATCCTAATATTTTTTATAAGACATTTTTTCTTAATTGGAAATTTAAAGATTTGTTTATAAAATTAACAGTGGCAAACATACGTACGTGCTGTTTTCATGATAATGTTGGGTATATGCAGGATCAACAAATATTCCAAAATATTGTGCAAATTATTAAAGCAAATATGTATCTATATAATATTATAATCTGAAAAATTACGGAATTCAAAAACGACTAATATACAAGATGTTTCACTTAAAAAAAAGTTTGAGTTCTTTTCAAAACGCGACATTCAAATGTTTTTTTTTAATATACGAGCATATTTCTTTGCGATCGCAAGAAAATTCATTCAATTGGGAGTCCGGATTGCAGGTATTTCTTGAGCACCCCAACAGTTAACTGAAAAAGACCAATTATTTTTTTTCTTTTGTTATAAACAATATGACGCTCGACCTCGACAAATACACAAATTTTATTCTGTGTATTTTTTACTTAATTTTTAAGCCAATAAAATTCGAGGTAGGCCCGATTTTTGAAAAAAAACCTAATTCGCCCGGACTATTTATTACAGGAAAACGGAAAAAGCAAAACGCAAACCGCAAGTGGCATGATGATATGAGTATTTGACGTAAAAAATAAGTTTTTCTGGAGAGGAGTCACATCTGAACAGTATCTAACAATTTTGTGCAGTTGACCACAGCCAGTGTTATAACAAAACTTATAATAGACCAATTGGTGTAGGATATTAGCTCATACCATCTTCTAGTATGCTGTGAAACAAATAGCGCTTCTATTCTATTTTATTATCAATTTATCTATTTAAAGATACTTTTTTTCAAGAAGATTCTTAATTATTTTAAAGAAAACTGCGAAAATTTTTCCCGATAAGTAAGTATTAGATACCCAATTCATTTTCAGTCCTTAAAAATTAAAAAAATGTAGTGTACGTCATTGTGATTATGGAATCTGTAATTTTCCAAGAAAGAGTCCACATTTTACATAGAAAGCGATGAGTGCTCATTATTAGATTTCAAACTGATTACTTTAATGACTATGGTACTTCAACATTACTCGACATTTAAAATTTTTAATAATGCACACTTGAGTACAAAATTAAAATAATTAATACTAACACACCAAAATCTGTACCTACATAGAATAAATTGTATTACATACCATTAAATATTGTATTTTAGTTTCATTTACTCTCAACGGAATTCTAATACTTAATTTAGATTCTAGAAAACTCTTTACCTTTCTTAACAAAGTAATTGTAAGTAACTAATAATATGACATGTGAATGATAAGGGATTTTAGCAATATTGATTAGGTTTTAGCGTTAGTCTCATACCTTTGGAACGTCCAAACTCGATCGGACACTTATCCACAGGAAACACTGACTGTAGAAGAAATTCGGTCTGTTGATAAACAATTTGTGGTTTCCAACATCGGGTTGCAACAAAGGACTTCTACGTAGCTATATTGTAACTACTGCTATTGAGATGAAAAACGCGTTATCAGGTTTTATCAAAAATTGACATTATTGATAAGGATATAAGTAGTCATTAATTGAGTAAATACATATTTTTATATCGGGTTTACTGCGGGTTTTTCTCTTGGAAATGTCCGTACACTGTCAGAGTACGAAATTTAGGAGTAAAATTAAAATTAACTTTATTTGACTTAACAATATGTATGTACATACGTATGAAGTATTTTTTCCTGTATCCTCAATCCGACTATTATCTTATCTAATATATACCTATTACTGTTTACCGATAGCCATATAGTTTTACAGACAATTGAAATACGGTGTCTCGTTAATCTATAAGGTAAAAAATAAGCCAATAAATTTTGTAAGATCGATATTTTCAACAAATGTATATTTCATTTCCATAAAGTTAATAAACTATATGCTTAGTAAACTAAATATATTCTTACAGTAACTTGAAGCAAAAACAGAAAAAAATATGTCTTCTATATAAAAGGAACAACTGATGACATGAGAGAGAGACGGTAATGGTTAGCAAGAACGTAACTTATTTTTTTCATGCCAGTTTGCCGTTGTTGTAAATATGTTGAAAATTAAATATTTAGTATAGCCTTTTTCATCATTATCGTCTTTTGTATCCTCTTCATCGTTATGCTGAGCTTCATTTCGTCATCCGATCCCATGTTATACATAGATATCCTAAAAATGTTTTTAAGGTCAATTTGAGTAATAGGACTTTCATGGACGTCCATGTGGTGTCGATTTCCGCACAATTAGATATCCCTGAAACATCCACCTAAAGTCCATGAATGATTATCTTGGATTATTAAGGATGTGTAACAAATGTACTAGTATATTCTCCAGAGTGAGGGTTTTTATAAGAATCAATAAAACTGCACTTTTAAACAAAAAAATATATTTCAAATGGAATATATACCTATAAAAAATGTACTCATTCTAGAACAAATGGTAAATATGTGTTATTATAATGTAAACAAACACAGGAGCTGATACGAAATACAATGAAATTGTTTTTATTTAGTATTATTCATCCTGCCTCTCTCGTAGGTTGCCCTAACCAAGATTAAACTGTTATTTCTGTCTTCTCATAGGTATTGTTTTTGTTTCCTTTTCCGCCATAACTATAAAAATAAATGTTATATGTAATATATGGTAGATGAAGTTCAGCTTATGTATTTTAAAAAATTTCATTCATTTATTGAAAAAAAAAGTATTTGGATTAAATGAGTAGATAGTTTTAAATGTAATTATTTGCCGTAAATGTTATTTTATTCTCTTCAAATGTATAAACTTTCGTCAAACTATATGAAATATTTGATTGTAATCTATAATTTTTTTTAGAATTTATATTATTTGTAAATATACGTATTTAATTATATTCAAATCTTTTATAGATTTGAAATTTATTATCTCGGACTTTAGCTACAATATCTCTTACAGTTCATCACAAACTGCAAACATGTTTGTTTCAAAACTACCAGTTCCTTAAAATATATATGTATATTTAAAAATTAGTATTAATGTAGGAATTATTCTAGACAAATGTAGCATATTATAATCAAACTTATGTTCTCTTGAAAGAAAATTGTAACAGTCACAGAATGGCGGAGGCAATAACCAAACCGACCTATATCTGGTTGGTTAAACTTACAAACGATCCCGGCTGTTTTGCGGGTTGTTGAAACAAAATATTTTTTATTACTGAGAAATATTTATATTCAAATATACTCCTAAAAAAGGAAGTCACGGTGCTCTGTGGAAGTCACTATGACCACCAAGAGGTGATTTTAACCGAGTTTGACAGCTTAAGTATATCTCCAGACTTGTGTTGTTTCTAATCCTGAAATTCTTAAACAACTATAGGCTCAATTAAGACTTCCAGCTGATCTGTGCGTAAATAATACAAATTTTAGCATCGGTTAATGAAAGTTTTGTCGCAGGCACCCCTCTACCTTCTCGTGTCCAAACGCTAGATGTAAAGTACCTATGCCAAACTTTCGATTACACTATCAGTCTCGCTGTACCTGGCTCTTGGAATATGCAAGAAGTCTGTGGCTGTGCGACCGACTGTTGTAACGCTGACATTTTTAAAACAATGTGTAGTTACATATAAAACGGTAACGTTTTTTTGGACGTTATTAGTTGGTTTCTGATTCTATGACCAGTTATTTCCGGAAATATGGATGTAATCGAAGAAGGCCCTGTGGTGAGCAAGAATATTTCCCAATGTGCTTCGTACGACATTCCAGCCTTTCAGCAATATCTGTCAGGTAAATATTGTTGCCAGAGAAATGAGAGAGTGCTTCTTTAGTTACAAATTGCCGATAATTCGTAAAAATAAACATTGGTCATTGGCTATTTGAATTAAACCTGGTTTATTTACAATAAGTTATTAGTTTCTTTTTACTTGAATTGAAAAAATTCTCTTACATATTTTTGATTAGGTGTTTTGTATGTCTTAAAGACAAATAGAACTTTAATTTCCGCTTTAGGAAAGTTTATAACAATTTTTGTTGTGTTCTGTTCTATTCACTGTATCTATAAAAAGCAACAATTTTGGTTTACGTTTGCTAAATGCAATATTTAATATTTTTTCTACGTATTTCTTTGGGGTAAGAAAATTTGCTAAATCTAAAAGGGGGTGGTATTTTTTGTCCATATTCCGGTACGGTGAAAAAAGGTTAGATAAAAACTAAGGAAGGGGATTTGAAATTAATGAAAATAAAACGAAATATATGAATGACATGAACGATAAAAGAATTTGATAAGATCAAAAGACACAATAATTACAAGAAGAGGAAGAGTATAGGTACAGTTTTGAAGAAGTAGAAAGAAACACACAGAAGAATAATGATTGGGAACCATTGTATAAGTGCATTAGAAAAAAAATTGTGTGTAACAAGAAAGTGTTAAGAATTTTATAAAACAATTGTAAGAACTATATGAATGTCTGCAAGTGAAAGAAAAATACATACTTAGAAACATATATGTAGGTAGGAGGATATAAAACAAATGGGAAAGAACTAAAAAGGAGTTACAAGAATTATATAATAAGCCTAATATTGTTGGAATAATAAATGGACAAAAATTGAGATGGTTAGAGCATGTCAAAAGAATGCAAACGAGAAGAATCCGATGGAAAATATTTGGAATCAAAATGGGAGGAATTAGGAGATGAGGAAGACGAAAGACAAGGAGGAAGGACGAAGTAATGATGGATTTGGAAGAATGTATGTAATAATAAACTGGAGAGAAGGAACACAATTTAAAATAGTGTTCCATGGGTCTACTAGACCTGAAGTGCTGATATATATAAAAAAAAATCTCACTAAATGTTTAAACATACTTCTTACTTCTGGAGATGTTGACAAAATTCATATTAAAAATAACTTTAAAGACTTGGTATCTTGAAAACAGAAGGATTTTGAAACAATCTGCATTATGAATATACAAGGACAAGTATCTCTCCGTAGAGTTGATTTAAGTAAATTATTTAAATCGTTTTCTGCTTTTTGTCACCCCGAAAGTAAATAGATATATTTTTACTTCTCGATGGAGCAATTCTTAAATTGCTAGTCATTATTTCTTAATATCAGAAAAATTAAATAGTTGCTAGAATTTACGCAATGTTGTTGCGGAATTTTCGCACAGCCCAAACTGATTGAATTTGCCTCCATACGCATTTCTTGAATAAATAAGCGCTTTGCATATATAAGGGACCTTTAATTTTAAACTGTGAAGGTGAACGTTCATTCCGAAATTATTTGCAATTCTGTAGATAATTGGATTTTTAATAAGACAATGCTGCTATACGTAGACGCACAAATAGTATTTAAATATTAATAGGGTGACCGATACCTTACAAACACGGGCATGACCTTAACATTAAAGTAAAAGTAATGGCTAATAGAAATTCATAACTGTTAATACTGGGTAAACTTTCGTTATCAACAATTAGGAAGTATTGTCGGCTTGAACAAGGCGAAGTCAATTCATTCAATTGAGGATTGTGGCGTTTTTGTAATATGTCAGTTTTAGATTTAGGCTAGGCAAACATAGTTTCCCAAAATAACCATTGGCTAATCCTTACGGCATACTTAAGTTTATTTATGAATTTACTATTTTTTTTTCACCCAAATTGAAAAAAAAAATAAAACTGCTACAAATAGGTAACCTCTGTTAATTGGAAGACTAATAAAAAACTGAAAGTTTTTGGAACAAAATAATAGAGATTGCTCAATGTTTCATAACAAGTGTGTCTAATTTATATATTAATATAGCACATACATATGTTATTGAACAAAACATTGTTACATTATTTCATACTTTAATTTATCCTGTGTTTTACTGTAAGTAATTTTAATCCTGTATATTTAAAGGTTGGTCAGCTAACAATTTTTTGAGGACGGGAGATAATTTGGAGAGGCCGAAAATAAAATCGAACAATATTAGTTCAAGCGTAACTTTATAACAGTGTTTAACAAACTGGAGATTATTTCTCCATTTTATCGACTGGATACAAATGTATTTTAGTCGGATTTAGTGTAAAAAAATAGGAGAGATTTTTAATCGAATTACTGCATTTCTCGCATCTACTAATATCACAATAAATTGTGTAACTGCTATAAAGTTAATTTCCATATTGCGATAATTTATCCTCTTTTTAAACCCAAACTTTCACTTAAGTTTTCGCTTTCGCTGAACTACTTTAACGAGGCAAGTGCGAGACTTACCGATACAGAAACCTAGATATGGGAATCTTACGGATTATGCAATATGTTGCATAAAGAGGCTTCCTGTGTGTTTATCGTGCTTACTCTCTTGCTCTTCAGGTCCTTAAAGGCTGTTATTATTTTTATTACGTACATTTTGCGAACGCAACAATAACATTAAAGATTTGCAACAATGCTCGCCAATAGATTATTGTTTTTGTTTTCTAATTTTAAGAGTTACAGTAAAGACCGTAACTGAAGCCTTAACGGGTGCATCTATTTTGAAAACATCAAATTTTGTCTAAAATTTTGGTTGTAATGTATATTCAAACTCTACCTGCTTACCTTTTCAGGATTTGCAAAGTCTGCTAGACTTTTAGACTGACACGGGATAAATTTAAATCTGTAAAAAAAAATATTCTGCCTTGCAAATCGATGTAATACAGAGTTTTAAGTGAGCTGTCAGTTATGCGAGTGTAACACGAAAGGTTTTGCAACATCATTATTATATCTCGCATCCCTTTAAAATGCTTCAGTATACGTAAAATCTTAAATAATGTAAGTTTGGGGTTATCGAACTGTACATGATTTCAGCTTATTGAAAGTAACGGGAATTTTGCAGTTTTACTTACAAGTTCCGACAATTTATAATAACCAGTTTCGATTAAGTATCGGAAAGATAAAAAATAGTCTATAATGAGAAACACTTATAAAGCATAAACACTTAGTCTGGTCCACATAGGGTATATTTTAGACTAAAACTTCAGCCTCATTATAGTTGTATAATGCACCAATAATTAATTGCAATTATTTTTTTTGAACACATGTTTTGGGAGCTCTTACATAAGTAGAATTATGTCTGTTAATATTATTTCATTAATATTACATATCACTTTATATAACAAAGCCTCAAGGCTTTGATGCAGACTGCTGGTTAATAATACACCATACCCTCCATTCTTTAACCTAATTGGAGGCCAACATAGTGGTACTATTTAATTAAATATGTACCTAAATGCCCTGTTATACTTATAATAAATAAATGTGTTTAAATATTTTGCATTGGAACTTTTCTAGATGCTTCTAGCAATATTTTGGAATGATCCACTGTAAATAATTTTAACGGTTAATGCATTAAAAAAATGTTTTATTCATAATTGAGTGCTTATTTTAAATGTTTGTATAGAAGATTTAAACTGCCATAGTTGACTAAATAAATCTCCAATTAACAATATTGCGACACTCGGTCTGATCATTAGACCAAAATATTTTACATAGTTAGAGTGATTCTAAGTCGGTTCAGTTTGATAAAAAATATCCAAATTTTTTTTAATTTCGCACCGTCAGGCATGATTGGTATCTAAAGTTATTTTTAAAACCTTTGAAAAACGAAGGTCAGGAGCTATATTTTCGATGGAATTTTTTCAGGTTGTCATGTCAAGAAAAAAAAAACGCTTTTACATCTTAATTTGGAAATAAAATTGAATTAAGGTTTATTTTGTAAATATAAATATAATTAAAAATCAAATAAAGCCACTATCTTAATCATTTTTTTACATTAATCAAATTTCTCTAAGATACAGTTATGAATTTAGCTCATCTACATTTATCCTCAGTTTGTTTCATTTGGAGATCAGTATTGTGTGAGCAATAATTTTTAAAATTGTTTGACTTTGAAATTTCATCCGGTTCTCATTGTTACCATCATCTGTGATAAATCAATTCGGCACAAACACCACATTAATCTCCTTTATATGGATTACTCATTACCTCTTTGAATTGTCGCTCCAATGATTCTGTTCAAACTATACAAAAATCGTAACAAGTACTAATATTGTCTGCATCACTGTAAAATCAAACGCTAAATTTCAGTCAACCGCAACATTGGTAATTTTTATGAAGGGGATTTTGCTCTTTATTTCATATTTATTTCTTTCCACAAGCCTTTTTAATACCAACAGTACAACTATTCCTTCATCAGTTTTCTGTTATCCTGTCTTAAATGCTAATATACACTAATGCAAACAAAAAGGGTCAAATGTAGTATACTTGAAACACATATTTATGCAATATTATTTGATTTTTAGATTCTTTGTTCATATTGACTTTAGTCAAAGCCTTGTACTACATACTTCATAAGCAATATTTCTCCATAATTTTGAAGCAACTTTAATAATTAAATGATTTCTAACATAATGTATTATTTGCTTAATCAGATAAAAAAGTATACTTATAGAAGGAAATTTAAGTAATATTTTTGGTAAAACTTATTTATTTTCATACTCTTTTCTATACCAAAAATATAAATAATTTGCCATCAAATAAACAACAAATTACAAAACAAGGGACTTAAGTTTTGAGGTACAATCTTTTAAACCAGATAATACATCATTTTGTAAGGTAGCCACAGCAAATACAGTTTTAATAAATCATTGTCACAATTTGGATTATAAATTAATTTATTAAAAAATAGTAAAAAGTAAAAGTTGTAAATAAAGATATTTTTCTCAAAACCAGGGATTCTATTCAAAAGTTTGTTGAAAACTTAAAATGATTCTACAAAGCCATATTAATTAAATAAGTTAATTGTATTGTAAAATTTAGATAACACACAAGTAGATATAACAAGGATGAAAGAACAATGGGGCCCGATATTTTCGAGTGGTTTGTCTAAACGATAATTTCTTGAAATATATGTGTATGTATTGAAAATAATTAGAGCTCTTATCTTCAATTACAATCGATAATATTTTAAGTAAAAACTACGTCATAACTAACGAAGTCTTTGCGATCATAGAAACGAAAATAGACAATACAGGGAGGATTCCTTTGAGCATTAGTGAGATATAACCTATAAATGTATGTATCTATGCCACATGTCATACATTAAATTTAAAAACCTCTCGCTTACGGCATACACTTTACTTACACATAACACTTTTTTTATTTTTAAATAATTAGATTACATTTATCAATTTGCAATTTAGTTTTTTTTTTAAATTATAACTATTTGAGGCTGTGCAATATTCCGAAAATACGAAAATTCTTTTCAAAATTTTTTTCAAAAAATTATTTTACGGGAACTATAGAACCGATTTTAATGAAATTTGGTGTGTTGTTTTACTTTATTTTAAAGTTCCTTTTAACTAAATTAGAATGGCTTCGGAGCAATTAAAATAGTTTTACAAAATTATCCAAAAAACTTGATTATTTTGCTTTTTTTTCATCAATTATTGCTATTTTCCAACATCGGTAATAAATTTAAACATATCTAACTTACAGTATATTGCGCAAAATTCAATTCTAAAATATTTTTCTTCTTCAATATTCTTCCAAAATGTACTGAAGGTATTCCAGAAAAAAATTGAATACTCGCACAGATCCGCCCTGGTCTACAGACAAGTATATCCCTTTTTTGCTATTTGTTATATATAATGTTATATGATCAACATCACAGTTTTCTTTCTGTGTGCTACTCAGTTTAATTGTAATTGTGGATGGTACATTTAAAATCTTTCTTGACAAAAACTGGATTCTCTAGCAAAATTTTACTGAAAAATTTTATGACAGTACACCCTGTACAAGTTTAGCTGTCGAATTAAGGGATACCAGACAGTTCAAAATTCATATTTGTGCTTCATTTATCACAATTAAAGGTGATAATTTTATGTTCTAACAAATTGAAGAGTTCAGTGTAGTGTTTTGAATTAAGAAAAATGTCTTTACTGACCTGCAGCACATAATATTGCTATCAATGTATTGCTTTCTTATGTAATTATTTTCTATAGTACGTTTTGCAAGTAGGTTGATTACTTTGAAGCAATATTCAACCATTTCGTGACAATGTCCCAATAATCCTTATCGATAAAAAGCAATAACGTTGTTTCATTTATCTAATAGATTGTTTATATTCTCAGAGCATAAGAATAAATGGAAGTTTTAATATTATTAAAATAATTATATCTAGTACGTTTATACTAGTAGTAAAAAATAGTAAACAATTCTTGCAACACAAAGTTGGTTTATTGGTATCACTGTTGTGACGTTATACCATCGTTTAAACTTTTAGTGTTCTGTGGTAACCAATGCACTTTGACCTTAAAAGAAATAGGAAATTTTAGTTGCTTCACCAAATGCTTACTAAATAAATAATTGTTACTAAGTTTTGGTAGTTTTCTGTGCAAGATAGTGTCTTATCAATGCCCATAACATTATATTTTCTTCTTTCTTGACAAAGATCGCTATTCAATTAAAATTGAAGCCAAATGAATTTCAATATAGAAGTCTTAGTACAAAAATTAGTTGAATAGTTAACACTTTATTAAGATTGTTATGCTATAACAATTTCCTTTGACAGTATGAATGTGGGAAAGGTCATAGTTTTAATTCAAGGACAATAAAGATATTTGTTCTTTGTCTTGCCTTTGTCTAATCTATCTGTACCAGCTGTTAGTCATTGATGAATTTATACAGGGTGTTTTGGAAAACGACAGCATACATTCGGGAGCTAATACAACTTCTGAAAATAAGATTTTTTCCTATGGAACAAAAAATAAACATTACCGTATCAAAAAAACAAATTTATTTTTATTATTGAATATAAAATGTATGCTTCAAATTACCATTGCAGATTTGTCATGATAAAGTCATTTATTTTCCTACACAATGTTTACTTTAGTAACCTAACCTAATAGGTTCCTAAATATCCGGCATCTCCTCAATACTACCCTAATCATATTCTTTTGCTATTCTATTATAATAATTTTAGCTTATTTACTGGTAACTGTTAAAATTATATTTGCGGTTTTATTGTCAAATTCAAGGTAATACTAATTAAATGAAAAAAATGTCAGTTGTTATAATTCCTGTTAATATTTAAATATAAAAAAGTAGAATTTTTTTGCTTTTACTTTACATGTATTTTTGAATCCGAGTGAGTTGCGCGAAACTAAATCTGTACAGGACATAGCTAGTACCATGCGAAACATCGCCATAATGTTAAAAATGTTGTTACCGCCGTTCTTGGTGGTAAAAAATTCGAAATATTTAGAATTATTCAAATTTCGTGGCTGAAAACGTACATAGGTATTGTATTTTTGAAACCGAGTGAGCTACGCGAAACTAAATCTGTACAGGACATAGCTAGTACCATGTGAGCGTAAATGTTGCGTTTATATTTCTTCATTGAATACCAAAGACAAATAGGTACCAAATCAAATAAAAATAGTTTTTTTTTATTTCATATCAGTAAAAAGGAACACTGAAATAATACTTGTTTACTTTCTCATTATCAAGAGCTAATTGGGAAATAAGTATTGAGTGTGTTGTAGTGAATTTCTGTAATCAAATAATTTTCATTTTTTAATGTTAATTTTTGCAATAAATATGAAAACACTTAATATTTCCGAAACAGTTGAAGGTAGTTATAGGATATTGTACATGAAATATGTCTAGAATTTTCTGAGGAATCCAAAAATTGAATAATGTACAGGGTGTTGCATTTAAAATAAGAAATTTGGTATTGACCATGTTACATGACACACCCTGTATAAAAAGTTTTTATTGAAAAAATGCGCAACTAAAAATACCAATCGACGTGTTCGAGCGTTTTTTCGAACACGCCCTCATTTATTTATTAGTGAATTTATTCCATTTGGCTGATACACACTTTAGGTATAGCTGAAACAGACAACTAAGTTAAAGTGTTTGTGAAAATTTGACGTAATGAATATTAAATTATCATTATTATTATATTTCTTATTTTTTTTTCCAGAAACCAATATCTTTGGGATAGCGGTGGTGTCAGTAGGCACAGTGTCCCTGATTGTAGTCCTAGCTCTGTTCCTTGACACTCTTCGTTATGTCATGAAGAACTCTTCATCGAGAGTGAAAGCGCACACTGCGTTTGTGATCGGTGTCTATCCGGTAAGTACACTTTTAATTGACCAGATATTTTACTTATCCTTCCAATTAAGGCGGTTTTACCATATTGCACAACACAAATAAGGTGTCATTTGGGTTACACCACATGCAATTTAATTACATCACTGCAGAAGAAAACCGTAATTCTTTGAAGTTATTAAGAGAAAGATTAACAGGCATTGAGAAACAAACTAACTTGTTGCAAAGTGACATAAAGATTTAGATAATTTTGTCGTAAACAGTTTGCAGTAGAAATGTTAAGACAAACTTTCAGGGTTGATATTAATAAGTAAAGTAACATTTTTTTCCTAAAACGATTTTTAAACCACTTATGTTCTTTTAAAGATAAAATCAGGAATATAATTTTTGACCAATCACGCAAGAATTAGGTATTGTGCAAAATTTGGACAAAAACTAACCAATGCCATTAGAATCAAAAAAGTTTTTAAAGATACCCCAGTAACGGACTTGATCGAACCACTGTTTTACATATCATCATATCATCTTTTATCTTTAGAACAAGAAGAGATATCTAAAATCTGTTTTAGTAAAAGTTGTTGAGAAAAAAGTACTTTTAAAAGACGTACAAAAATAGTTAATAAAAAGCTTATGATGTGAGTTTGAGGCACCCCATCACTATACACAAACTTTGAGATGGTCTCAGGATAATTCTGTTTCAGGTGACGTCACTGGCGACATATTTCGCCATCCTTGTCCCCAGGGCCCACTTGCTGGCTGAAGCCATAACACAGGGCATGTTCATGGCAGGCATGTATCAACTGTTCTGCCTTTTCGTCGCCTACTGCGGTGGCGAAGCCGAATTGGTGAAAAAAGTCAAGCCCGACCAGCTCAGCTTAAAGGTGGGACCTTGCTGCTGCTGGCCCTGCTGTATCATTTTGCCAACCTTCAGCGTAACAAAGTAAGAAAAAGCGTTATTAGCAGGACGGCTGGAAAAAAAAATGATAAGGCCAGAAAAAGTTAATGTTCTGTGGTAATTCTTATAACGCTGTTTGTTTTAACTGGGAAACATAAAAGGTTGCCAATTAGATTCGGTTTATTTAACAGCTGATAGATTTTGATTAGATAAACGCGTCCGGCTGAAGTAACGGTTTGTTTTCTTTCGTTTAATATTTCTTGAATGAAATTAATGTAATTGTACTGCACTGGATCTAATTTTTTTAAATCGTTGATGTTTCGAACCTGTTACTCCCTACACTACCATCTTTATACTAACCTCAAAAACACCACACCTCTTTGCCGGACCCATTACATTTACGAAAAAACTAGAGGAGACTAAATTTGTCTCAAATGAATTACCGTATTGGCTGTACAGAAAAGTTACGCAAGAAATTACTTGTACCTGTAGCAGTTCTACTCCCTGTACCGAAGGGGAAGATCAAGAACCCTTCAATTTTGAACAAGGAATCATTTTCTTCAATTTTTCGCACTTATTTTCTGTACATTATACTATTATTTATGTAAGAAAGTGTAGATTATGTCCCATTTTAGGAAAACTGTAAGGACCCTGAGGCTTCTAGTTCTTCAGCTACCACTGGTGCAAGGATTAGTATATCTAATACTTCTGGTAATGTGGGCCGAAAGAGAGGTACGTAGATGTTATTTTTCTTGTATTTCCTTGCTTTGTTATACTATTAGTACAACGTTTATGTATATACAAATATAAAACAATTATTTTTTATAATGTCTGTTATTGATAACAAATTAATCCATTGATTGTTGAAGGCAACATTTATTTTATGCACATGTTCTTTAATTGCCAAATAAAAACTTCAAGGAAATTGATATAGTGTAGTAAACAAACTATAATCAAACCATTCCTAAAACGTTTTACCTTCCATAATTTGCAAAACCACATAAAAAATAAATTCGCTTATTCTTAATATCAAATCATTGCTACAATAATACAAGCTGACCTAGTTTTCAGTATAATTTATACAGAGAGTTTAATTTGTCACCCCTATTACCTGATTTATATTAAGAAATCATATGTTACATACCTACTATAAAAGAAAAGAAAATTAGAAACAAAGTAGGTTAAATGTTACAACAAATTCAATGTAAATTAACTATTAAATTATTATTGTTGCCTTTTTCAATATAAATATCTGCGTCCAATAAAATAGAAGATAAATAAGACCAAAATGTATATTCTGATTTGTTTCAATATGAAACTGAAAACAAATTTTACTATAGACATATTGAATGATTATGCAAACAACAAGTCGTACTGACGATCATTTTTCAGAGCTTGTACCAAATAAACTACATGTACATCCAACCCATCATCATAACGTCCATCTTAATTGGAGTGTGGTCGATGGCTATGACGATAAACCTGCTAAAAATATCCTGCGAGAAATACTTCTTAATAGGAAAATTCCTGGTGCTGCAGATGGTCCTGATTTTTGCAAAACTCCAAGGCCTATCCACAAGAGCCCTAGTATGGTTCCACGTGCTCCCCTGTCGGCCGCCGATCACTCCCCAAGTGTACGCAAACTGTAAGTAACATACGCAAACGCAAATGAGTTTGATTGAGGAAAAGTTAATCGTTGTTAAATCTGGCGAGTTAGCCGGAGGTAAAATGAAATTTTTATTGACCTTATTTGTTCCAGTGCTGCACAATTCGCTGATGCTGCTAGAAATGGTCCTTCTAGGATCTTTGGCGAGGTATCTATACAAGAGGAGTATTCCTGAAATAGTCACCGAACCCAACAGGATCAGTACCATTGGAAGCATCATGACGATAGAAACGTGCAATAATAACATTGTTGCTTGTAACGACTTTAACAAAACCAATGGTGAAGAAAAGAACTCGGGAAATGGTTCTAGTGGTGTCGATAATGTCGGGGCGGATATTAATGAATGATAGTAGTGATTGCTGTGATATTATTTATAACTTGGATGGAAGTAGGATGTGTTTTTTTTTTAAGATATGACAATGAACTTATAAAATTAAAAACATTTTTAATTTTATTTATATTTAGGTAATTAAAACTTTTGACTCCGTCTGTGATAGTGAAATAAAAATAGCGACGGAGGTAGTCATATTTCAGTACATGTTATCGATTTATTGGTGTATTAATTTAATTATAATCATACTGGAATGTCAAGTAGCCACTTAACTATACGGTAAACCAACAATATGAAAAAGACCATTAAAAAAGATCTTTTTTTAGTGATATTTCACATTTTGAAGATAATTTGAATATACTAAGACGGGGAAACAGAATTGGGGTGGTTTCTTGTATGGTTATAGTTTTATGGAGCTAAAGATGCATTTACACTTATTGTAACTTTGGATAATGATCGGGAGGGTCAGCGAAAAGTTAACTAAAAAAATTTTAGTGTTGTTTCAAAAACAATCAATCCTTTAGGAATAATAAATATAACCGTTACGTCAATATCCTTGGCAGGAAAAATGACGTCGCCTGGGGCGGAGTCGAGCAGGACTATCGCTCTTCACCCAAAAAATTGTACATAAGCTGTATTTGAAATTCTAACCTACATTCCAATTTAACATGACGTAATTTTAAAATAATATCAGTATTACCTTTGCTATGTGGTGTAAACAAAATATGGTTTTTGGTCTCTTTTGCGATGATCATGCCAAACGACTCATGTAAAAGCGCTTTAACTGTTGTCAGTATATTACTGATACTATTGTATGGGTTCCTAAATATGAGATTTATTTGCAAAACACTTTTAGGTGTCATAAATTGGCCTTAATGTTTGTGGTTTTAAGAACTTGAACAAATTTTTATCAAAATACTCCTCAAAAATTACAACAAAAAATATATAAGCATATTTCATCTAAAAAGGCGTTTTATTTTCCTATAATTATATTTATCCACAATCACTAAATCGGACTTTTATCCACACATATGAACCGCCTAAAGTGATATTTTATCCACTAGTGGAATAAAGTAATTTTATTTCACTAGTGGAATATTGAAAAATTAATAAACCTATAATAAATCTTACTTAACTTATTAATATTAACATTTACATTTATAGTAATAGACATTTCGTTTTTTTTTGTTTTCTTACATTTAACTTCCTTTCCGTTAATAACAACCCTTGTAGCATTGTTGCCATCATTTTCAGAAGGCATAACATCTGCCGAAGTTTGTGAACAATTTGTATGAAGTTACGGATGTCTCTTCTTGTAAGGAACAGCAATATTTTCCTTGGTTTTCCTTGCAATATCAAGTTTGTTAGATATAGACTCCTCAACAACTTTCTGATACAGATGAGCTCTTCCATCTACCATGCCGTTTGATGGTTGTAGGATCAGCACCTTTATTGGCCAATAAAGTTGTCGAAGTGCTCCTCATACAATGCATTTCATGCATTTTTACCTAATTCAGATAGAACTGCGTTCTTGCGTGGATAAAATGCTACTTAAATAACTATTATTTATTCTATATTTTTCAGTTTTGTTTAAAAAACTAATAAAATGTCCTGAAGAAAAATTTTGTTGACTTTGTTTTAGCTATAAAATTGACTTTTTGCAGGAATTACACTATTTTCTGCATTGCAGATAAGATTTTGCGAGCCCTATTCTACGTAAAATAACCCGTTGTTTTTTTTAAGCGTATGACACAATATTTTTTGTTTCTACGAGGTAGGTACATTTTTGGAGCTATAAATAAATTTTCTGTCAAGAGAAATAAACCTTTCCTGCCGACAGCAAAGTTAGAGATGACAGTAAAGATATTTTTTTATAAATAATTTCCAGCAAATGGAACTCTCTATCTTAGTGAACTCCTTAGTCCTCGCCTATTTTGCCATTTTTTTACTGGTACAGTAAAAAATTAGGTGAGGCTATAAAAAACTCCTCCATGAATGTACCTACTTTCATTTTCAGAGTCTAAGGGCAGGTACTTGCCTACTATAAAACTATAAGTACTTAAGTCCTTCATTACTTTTTGGAAATAATTTGATATTATTAAAATTTTAATACTGATATAGGTACATATATTGGCTATTCTGATTGAAATTTTAAAAATGAAATTATGTGATTACGTAGAATTTTTGGTTCTTTTGATGGATAAACTTTAATGACAAGGAGTAATATTTTTTACTTCAAAAGCTGGGTATACACCGGTTATTAATAAATTCTCAAAGGAATATAGATGACCGAATAGAATATCGTAATATAATTATAGACTTCAAATAAAAGGACTGCATACTTCAGATCAAGTTTCAGTGTTGGATATATCCCTGTAGATATTTTCTTTCAAATATACGAGATCTGTTACAAGGTAAGTAGAATATTTAGAAATACAAAACTCTTATTTTGTATAAAATTAGCATTAAATGTATTCATTTTGAATATTGAAATGTATTCGATCACATTCTGAAAATATATTGCACCGAAATAACCTAAACCTTTTATTTCTTTAGCAAAAACAATATTTTTTGTTATAAAATATTTCTATTAATTGTTTGTAGCGACAGTAGAGTAAAAAGAAAACACTAAATTGTCTGCAGTGAAATGATTTATACATTCCTTAATAATTTCTTTCTGATGTTTAGTGAAAATGGAAGACAACATTCACATGAAATTTGCGAAAATCCTGATGATAATATTAGGAATATGGCCGGTCAAACTAACAGGCTGGAAACTGATACTCTATAACGCATATTTTTACGCAAGCTATGTATACTACATCATGTACGATATAAGTCAAGGAGCAATAATTTTCGTCGCCAGAGGAACATTTCTGCAAACAGTTGGGAACCTTGGAGTAACAATCGTTTACATCATCAACATCTACAAAGTTTTCATATGCAGATCCACGTCAGTGAAGAAGATTTTACAGGAGATTGAAGCAAAGGAACGGCTCATCCTGGAAAACGATGATGACACAATTAAAAAAATATACTACGACCATGTGCAATCGTCTATGCTAGCGATGAAATACTACGTCTCATTAGGTTCGGTGGGAATATCCTTATACTTTATTGCCCCCATAGTGAGAAACCTCGTTGAAGAAGACGATCACAAGTATCTCATTTTCACCAGTTGGTTTCCATTTGATTCTGACAAGCACTATGCCGTGGCTTATCTAATACAATTCTTCGGTGGATTCTATGGTTACGCTTATATAGTCTACTGTGGTTCCTTCTTCTTTTGCATGCTAAAGTACTGCGTGGGGCAGATAAAAATTTTGCAGCATATTTTTAGAAATCTCCGGCAGTACACTGTTAAGTATTCTCGTAATAATGACCTCGATGAAAAATGTTCCGAAGAAATTTTCGTTAAATTATGCATAAGAGAACACCAGTATATAATTAGGTAAGGCGATAATATGAGGGCAGATATTTCGCTAAATTCATTTCAATTTGGTTTCATGAAATTATGAGGAAACTCTTAGAAATTAACACGACAGCATCTATTAAATAGGTGACCGTTTCTTTGATAGTTGCTGTCGTCTGTCGTGGTATGTACATAACTTGATCAATTTCATCTTATCCTCGAAATGCGCAGATCAAGAAGTGAGTCCGCAGTAGTGAGTGACAAAGACAAGACACCTTAATCTTAAATGAGCTCCGGTGCTACTCTGGTAACGTAGTCACTAGCGGGCAAGATGAATTTGATCAAGCTGTGTGCTGGTATTTGTTGAATTGTGGTCATACTGCTAATATTGTTTCAGCTTAGTGAAGAGGCTTGATGATTGCATTAAAACACTTATGCTATTAGAATTTCAAATATCATCCTTTCAGTTGTCATTGGTTGTGTATCAGATACTACAGGTATGCAAGTATACAGGGTGTCTCGCATAAGAACCGACACAGGACAGGTGCATGTAAGGGTGTCCAAAATATTGTAATTTAACCAAACTTGCATTCCCTGAGGAGTTATAAATCTGAAATTTTTTTTTTTAGTACCTACTAGCAATACTGAATCGTTTCCACCCTAAACGGACCAACCCCTCACTCTCCTTTCCCCTTCCACCCCCTTAAATGAGATGACACACATTTACATTGAATAAAACGAAAAAGAAAAAATCAATAATTATACATAAGTATATGTTTGTGCATATTTGATTAGCCACTTTGAATTTCGTGACTGAATTCATAAAGTTTTAAAATTTAAACTCTGCTGTGAAATAATATTACTATTTTTCAATTCGGCCAATGAAAAAAAGTTCGGTACAATTTTAGGGGTGAGTTATCCCCAATGGACACCTTGTAGTGCTTCAGTTAACTTTAAATCATAGGTAAAGAAGACCAGTAATAAACCTAAATCATGTACCAAATTTGGTTCTTCTACGGTAAAGTGTTGCAGATATTAATTTTTTTCGAAATTTAGGGCCCCACTTTGAGGGTTTATAACCCTCAGGGGTGCAACTTTGTATATAGGTAAGTTTGGTTAAATTACAAAATTTTGGGCACCCCTACCTGCCTTGTGTCGGTTCTTATGCCCTGTATATTATCATTTGAAGTCCTTTATTCTAAAATTCAACAGTACACTCAAAAAAATAAATTGGGGGGTTGACATTAGTACAGCAAAACGATTCCTTAAATAAGTAGAACATATTTTTTTATAAACTAAATAACTGAGAAATTAACGAAATATGTTGTCAAAATAAGCGATGCAAAAATTGCAAGTCATCTTTTGACAACCCCTCAGGCTGTGCACACCACTGCACTTGTCAAATTATTTATTTGTATTTATTAAAAGCGATACAATTTTCAGAGCAGTGGTTGGACAATAGAAAGAACGGCAGTACTTTCTTATCTTGTTACTCTTTGCTCTCAATTGTTTATATTTTACTGGAATGCCCATGAGATAATTATTGAGGTATGTGCTAATCATTTTATTCTGATTTATTTATCACGTCACATCTAAATCCATCTACCTAATTTAATTTCACCACATTTCAAATATTATATATTGATCTACTCATCTGATTCTAGGCAAGTTCGGTATTAACATCTAGAATTCTAGATGCTCTTGATATACCTATTTCTTTGTCGTTTTATCTGTTACAATTAGAAAAGGACAAAGATTCTAGAGCATCTATGTTATCAAACTTGTATTTCACTTCATTTTTTCCGAGTATAGGCAACACGTTATACAAACTACGTGTAATGCTGATTACAGCAACTTCTGAAATTTATTTATCCTTTTTAAAAATGTGGCATATCGAGACATCTCAGAGTAAAAATTCCTCTACTAAACTGATACATTTTTTTAAGAGTACTGAATTGGCACAAGCTGTATTTGAAAACGAATGGTACACTTTTGACAGGAACATCCAAAATTTATTGATCTTTGTAATATTAAGGGCTCAAAAACCAGTGGGTATTTCCATAGGACCCATTTACAAAGTCAAAATGGACGCACTAATTGGTGTAAGTATTTTAGTCTAGATACTGTTGGCTCGTACCTTTACTTGTATTGGAACTAGTTAGAATCACATTACTTAATAATTTTAGATTTTTAAAGCTATTTACTCGTATGTAGCTGTTATCCAGAAGTAAGTAAATATAATCGACAAGGATTTTCATCACTTCTTAATGTACTAACTGCAATAACATATTCACATTACAAAATATAGAATTATTTGCATATCTATTTTTGTTTTTTTTTTCTAAAGTTTGAATGCCTCCAAATGGCAGTTTTTTGTCTTTTCCTTAAACCCCCATAAAATATTGATAAAAAAATGTGTACTGCATATGAAAGAACTTTATTATACCAAGTACTTATAAGTACATAAAAAATATAACCTACCATACATCAGTTTAGAAAACAAATATTTTATAAGGCGTTTTATTTTTCTATAATTATATTTATCCACAATCACCTAATAATCGGACTTTTATCCACACATGTGAACCGTCTAAAGTGATATTTTATCCACTAGTGGAATAAAGTAACTTTATTTCACTTGTAGAATATTGAAAAATTAATAAACCTATAATAAATCTTATTTAACTTATTAACATTAACATTTACATTTATAGTAATAAATATTTCGTTTTTTTGTTTTCTCACATTTAACTTTCTGTTAATAACAACCCTTGTAGCTTTGTTGCCATCATTTTCGGAAGGCATAACATCTGCCGTTTGTGAAGAATTTGCACGAAGTTACAGATGTCTCTTCTTGTAACGAACAGCTATATTTTTCTTGGTTTTTCCTTGCAATACATACTTGAGTATGTTAGATATAGACTCCTCAACAATTTTCTGCTACAGAGGAGCTCTTCCATCTACCATGCGGTTTGATGGTTGTAGGATCAGCACCTTTATTGGTCAATAAAGTTGTCGAAGTGCGCCTCATACAATGGCCAGTATATGCTTCTGGATTTGCGATATTCAGGAATGAAGCAGCTATTGACGGTACCTTCGCTACTGTGTTTTTTTGCTTTGTATACTCTCGATTCACTCTTCAAATAAGCAGTAAGTTTGTTATGTTTTCCAATATCTATATTTTTGTATACCTTTATAGTATCCTTCAACATCTAATAGTTCGACCACATAGATGAAATTGCATATTTTTTCTTCAAATTTAACAAATACGATAGCATGACTCTCCGTTTTTCCCTCCATTCGTTAAATTCGGCGAACACTTTTTCGTAATGTTTCCAGGATTTCGCTGGCAATAAATGGAAAATAGCTTCTTGAGCTTCGTCAAAAACTGCCACAGGAACACAATTACTTGCATTTTCACCAAATTCAGATAGAACTGCGTTCTCGCGTTTAAACATTCTTGCGTGGTTGAAATGCTATACTTAAAACACTTATACAATAAATAACTATTATTTATTCTATATTTTTCAGTTTTGTTTAAAAAACTAATAAAATGTCCTGAAGAAAAATTTTGTTGACTTTGTTTTAGCTATAAAATTGACTTTTTGCAGGAATTACACTATTTTCTGCATTGCAGATAGAATTTTGCGAGCCCTATTCCACGTAAAATAACCCGTTGTTTTTTTTAAGTGATATAATAGTTATTGTTTCTACGAAGAAGGTACAATTTTGGAGCTATAAATAAATTTTTTGTTAAGAGAAATAAACCTTTCCTGCCGATAGCAAAGTTAGAAATGACAGTGAAGATATCTTTTTATAAATAATTTCCAGCAAATGGAACTCTCTATCTTAGTGAACTCCTTAGTCCTCGCCTATTTTGCCATTTTTTTACTGGTACAGTAAAAAATTAGGTGAGGCTATAAAAAACTCCTCCATGAATGTACCTACTTTCATTTTCAGAGTCTAAGGGCAGGTACTTGCCTACTATAAAACTATAAGTACTTAAGTCCTTCATTACTTTTTGGAAATAATTTGATATTATTAAAATTTTAATACTGATATAGGTACATATATTGGCTATTCTGATTGAAATTTTAAAAATGAAATTATATGATTACGTAGAATTTTTCTTTTGATGGATAAACTTTAATAACACATAATAGGAGTAATCTTTTTTACTTCAAAAGCTGCATATGCACCTGTTATTAATAAATTCTCAAAGGAATATAGATGACCGAATAGAATATCGTAATATAATTATAGACTTCAAATAAAAGGACTGCATACTTCAGATCAAGTTTCAGTGTTGGATATATCCCTGTAGATATTTTCTTTCAAATATACGAGATCTGTTACAAGGTAAGTAGAATATTTAGAAATACAAAACTCTTATTTTGTATAAAATTAGCATTAAATGTATTCATTTTGAATATTGAAATGTATTCGATCACATTCTGAAAATATATTGCACCGAAATAACCTAAACCTTTTATTTCTTTAGCAAAAACAATATTTTTTGTTATAAAATATTTCTATTAATTGTTTGTAGCGACAGTAGAGTAAAAAGAAAACACTAAATTGTCTGCAGTGAAATGATTTATACATTCCTTAATAATTTCTTTCTGATGTTTAGTGAAAATGGAAGACAACATTCACATGAAATTTGCGAAAATCCTGATGATAATATTAGGAATATGGCCGGTCAAACTAACAGGTTGGAAACTGAACCTCTATAACGCATATTTTTACGCAAGCTACGTGTACTACATCATGTACGATATAAGTCAAGGAGCAATAATTTTTATCGCCAGAGGAACATTTCTGCAAACAGCTGGAAACCTTGGAGTAACAATCGTTTACGTAATCAACATCTACAAAGTTTTCATATGCAGATCCACGCCAGTGAAGAAGATTTTGCAGGAGATTGAAGCAAAAGAACGGCTCATCCTGGAAAACGATGATGACACAATTAAAAAAATATACTACCACCATGTGGACTCGGCTATGCTAGCGATGAAATACTACGTTTCTTTAGGTTCAGTTGGAATATCGCTGTACTATATTGCCCCCATAGTCAGAAACCTCGTTGAAGAAAACGATCACAAGTATCTCATTATCACCAGTTGGTTTCCTTTTGATTCTGACAAGCACTATGCCGTGGCTTATCTGATTCAATTCTTCGGCGGATTCTATGGTTACGCTTATATAGTCTACTGTGGTTCCTTCTTCTTTTGCATGCTAAAGTACTGCGTGGGGCAGATAAAAATTTTGCAGCATATTTTTAGAAACCTCCGGCAGTACACTGTTAAATATTCTCGTAATAATGACCTCGATGAAAAATGTTCCGAAGAAATTTTCGTTAAATTATGCATAAGAGAACACCAGTATATAATTAGGTAAGGCGATAATATGAGGGCAAATATTTCGCTAAATTCATTTCAATTTCGTTTCATGAAGTTATAAGGAAACTCTTAGAAATTAACACGACAGCATCTATCAAATAGGTGACCGTTTCTTTGGTAGTTGCTGTCGTCTGTCGTGGTATGTACATAACTTGATCAATTTCATCTTATCCTCGAAATGCGCAGATCAAGAAGTGAGTCCGCAGAAGTGAGTGACAAAGACAGAACACCTTAACCTTAAATGAGCTCCGGTGCTACTCTGGTAACATAGTCACTCGCGGACAAGATGAATTTGATCAAGCCGTATGCTGGTATCTGTTGAATTGTGCTCATATCGCTAATATTGTTTCAGCTTAGTGAAGAGACTTGATGATTGCATTAAAACACTTATGCTATTAGAATTTCAAATATCATCCTTTCAGTTGTCATTGGTTGTGTATCAGATACTACAGGTATGCAAGTATACAGGGTGTCTCGCATAAGAATCGACACAGGGCAGGTGCATGTAAGGGTGTCCAAAATATTGTAATTTAACCAAACTTGCATTCCCTGAGGAGTTATAAATCTGAATTTTTTTTTTAGTACCTTCTAGCAATACTGAATCGTTTCCACCCTAAACGGACCAACACCTCACTCTCCTTTCCCCTTCCACCCCCTTAAATGAGATGACACACATTTTTATTGAATAAAACGAAAAAGAAAAAATCAATAAGTATACGTAAGTACATGTTTGTGCATATTTGATTAGCCACTTTGAATTTCGTGACTGAATTCATAAAGTTTTTAAAATTAAACTCTGCTGTGAAATAATATTACTATTTTTCAATTCGGCCAATGAAAAAAAAGTTCGGTACAATTTTAGGGGTGAGTTATCGCCAATGGACACCTTGTAGTGCTTCAGTTAACTTTAAATCATAGGTAAAGAAGACCAGTAATAAACCTAAATCATGTACCAAATTTGGTTTTTCTACGGTAGTGTTGCAGAGATATTTTTTTTCGAAATTTAGGGTCCCACTTTGAGGGTTTATAACTCCCTCAGGGGTGCAACATTGTATACAGGTAAGTTTGGTTAAATTATAAAATTTTGGGCACCCCTATCTGTCCTGTGTCGGTTCTTATGCCCTGTATATTATCATTTGAAGTCCTTTATTCTAAAATTCAACAGTACACTCAAAAAAATAAATTGGGGGGTTGACATTAGTACAGCAAAACGATTCCTTAAATAAGTAGAACATATTTTTTTATAAACTAAATAACTGAGAAATTAACGAAATATGTTGTCAAAATAAGCGATGCAAAAATTGCAAGTCATCTTTTGACAACCCCTCAGGCTGTGCACACCACTGCACTTGTCAAATTATTTATTTGTATTTATTAAAAGCGATACAATTTTCAGAGCAGTGGTTGGACAATAGAAAGAACGGCAGTACTTTCTTATCTTGTTACTCTTTGCTCTCAATTGTTTATATTTTACTGGAATGCCCATGAGATAATTATTGAGGTATGTGCTACTCATTTTATTCTGATTATAATGTTAATAACTTGTATTTGGCTTTCTCTCTGAGTACAGGCAACACGTTATACAAACTACGTGTAATGCTGATTACAGCAACTTCTGAAATTTATTTATCCTTTTTAAAAATGTGGCATATCGAGACACCTCAGAGTAAAAATTGTTTCCTCTACTAAATTGATACATTTTTTTAAGAGTACTGAAATGGCACAAGCTGTATTTGAGAGCGAATGGTACACTTTTGACAGGAAGGTCCAAAATTTACTGAACTTTGTAATATTGAGGGCTCAAAAACCTGTGGGTATTTCCATAGGACCCATTTACAAAGTCAAAATGGACGCACTAATTGGTGTAAGTGTTTTAGTCTAGAGACTGTTGGCTCGTACCTTTACTTGCCTTGGAATTAATTAGAATAGTTCACATTACTTAATAATTTCAGATTTTTAAAGCTATTTACTCGTATGTAGCTGTTATTCAGAAGTAAATACATTGGACAAAGATCTTCACTTCTGAATGTAGGTACTAATTGCAATAACATAATTATATTCACATTAGAAAAAATAGAATTATTTGCATATCTATTTCTGTTTTTTTTCCCTAAAGTTTGAATGCTTCCAAATGGCAGTTTTTTGTCTTTACCTTAAACCTCCATAAAATATTGACAAAAAAAATGTGTACCACATATAAAACTTTATTATACCAAGGACCTATAAGTACATACAAAATATAACCTACCATCCATCAGTTTCGAAGACAAATATTTTCAAATAAGATTTTATATTTTTAATAATACTGCATTACATACAATAAAATAGCATCATATAATACTTTGGTGTTTTGTAGGGATATAAATAGTTTGTTGCAATATGGAAATAAAACTTAATTTTTAAAGTAATAAAGATTGGAAGTTTGTAAGAATTTATAAATTCATATATGCAATATTTTCTCGTAGAAATACTGAAGAATTAGTTACTCGAAGATGATTTTATATCTATACAGCCATTGGCATATTTATTTTAGGGTAAGGTTTATAACCCTCTAATTCAAAATCATCAGCGGTAAATTCTTCAATACTTTCCACTTTCTTATTAATTTTCAGCGTTGGAAAAGGCCTCGGTTTGCGTTTCAGCTGTTCTTGTAGGGCATCAACATGATTTAGGTAGACATGACTGTCTCCTAATGTGTGAATGAACTCACCTGGCTGCAATAGTTAAATAAAATTTGCAAAACAATTTTATAAAAAAAAGGATAAAAGCCTTTTTTAATTTATAGGTACTTACTTTCAATCCTGTAACATGTGCTATCATATAAGTAAGCAGCGCATAGCTTGCAATATTAAACGGTACTCCTAAACCCATGTCGGCCGATCTTTGATATAACTGACAAGACAGCTCATCGTTTGCGACATAGAACTGTACGAGGCAATGGCATGGAGGTAAAGCCATTTCAGGGATATCGACAGGATTCCAAGCACACATTATTATACGTCTGTCATTTGGTCTTGTTTTAATTGTATTTATAACATGAGCCAACTGATCGATACCTTTATTTTTGTAATCAGTATGCATATCTTTATATTCAGCACCAAAATGCCTCCACTGGAAACCATAAATAGGCCCTAAATCACCCTCCTCCCTATCCTTAAGACCCACCGAATCTAAGAATTGTCTGGTACTGTTAGCGTCCCATATGTGAACATTTTTCTGACTTAGTTCAAAGGCATTGGTGTTTCCTCGGATAAACCAAAGTAATTCTTCAACCACACCTCGCCAAAATACCCTTTTTGTAGTGAGAAGAGGAAATATATTGTCGCGTAAAGTGTACCGCATTTGCGCCCCGAAAATAGAAAAGGTACCCACCCCTGTACGGTCCCCCCTCTTTACACCTTTCTCGATGATATTTTTAATGTGATTTAAATACTGATACTCTTCATGTTCCTTGTTTAAAATTTTCTCATCGCCCCTGCACGTAATATTAGGGGTAATATTTTCTTTTCCTTCCTCTTTTTTAGATTTGTCGACTGTAATTTCTATAGTTACTTTATCACAAGTTTTAGCGGTTATTCTGAAATTATTAGACGTAAACTGAAAACATCAGTACTTGAATTAAGCAATAACTTACCCCGACATAGTGCACGTAGATTACAAAACTGTTAAACTGAATAATTTTACTTAAAAATGGTAAGAAATGTTATTGTTCTAGATTAATTTCCCGCCTTTTAATTGCATTTCGTCAAATGTAAAATGTCAACTTGCATTTATTTGTCTGTCATGGATCTTATATTTAGTAGATAGATGCTGGTTAAATGATGGATACATGTTAGTACTTGAGTATGATTGGTAGATGGCGCAGTGTATAATGTTTGGCTAATTCTTATTTCTCGTGTGCTTACTGCGCTTACATTTTACGAAATCTAGCTCCAGCTATAAAATACCCTCATATTAATAGATAAAAACTAAGCAATGAAATAGTATGACAGCTTTTCGGACGTGAATAAATATACTTTTCGATCATATAAGACTAGGTATTGGCGATACAGATTATATTAAGAAATTCACGGACAAATGCTAGTGCCCTAGATGTATATACCATTCTATTAAGAAAATTTAATTTGTATTCTGGATTAATGACTAATTCATTCCTTAAATATGTTATGAAAGGTAAAATATGTTACTTAATTATTCTCCTTTTTTTTGGCCTTCAGGAAAGCTGTTAATAGGGTATTTCTGCAGAAACGTTTTCCGTGGTCCATGACTCATTCTTCTGTGAATTCTGTCACCTGTCACTTCTAAAAGTTAGAGCTGACAATTCCAAATGTATATGTGTCTAGGTTAATTGTTTTATAAAAAATAATTCTATAAAATGAAGTTGTGTTTTGTCTAATAATTACATTCAATTGATAATATTATGTTAAAAGACTGTAAGAAAAGAAATGAGTATGCTGAATTGGAACTGAGAGTAGGTAAGTGGATTATATTTGATAGTTTTTAAATTACCTATTTAAGTATTTAGTAGGTCATTTCAGTTTGATATTCATCTTGTCCATATTTACTTTTTACTTTTGTTGATAGTACAATGACAATGTAGTGGTATTCTCTCATGCATAACAATTGTTTTTATTTTTAATCAGGGAGATATTCAATGTTTTAAAAAGTTCGCCGGGATTATGCGCAGTGATATACAGGTACATACTATTTTCAACAATCAACTAATCTATTTAAATATAATTGCTGTGAATTATTTGTTATTGTGTACACATAATACTGCATTAAAATTATTAGTTTTCAAAAATAAGGGACAAGTTTACCTACTATAATCCTAGAAATATTGAAATAATGTAATTAAAAAATTTTTGATTTCCAATTCTTATGAAATGTTCGTAATTTTTTATCTGGTTTTCACCATTTGTTAAATGCGTTTGCTAATAATAGGGCTATTTATAAATAGGTATCTATTTTTGTAAATTTAGTAACATCTACGTTTTTTCAAAAAGTAACTTTTGAGTTTTAAATGTCTGTTTTTATTCACTTTATTTATTTATTTTTTTGATAATAGAAGTGAAGCTCCAGTCAAATTACGTCCTTCAAATTTTTCTCTTGTTGTTGTCATGAACAGAAACATAATAAACCATTAAGCAAATGAATAATATTAAATGAAAATAATACTTGGGTTCATTTAAATAATATGTTCATTTTAATTTAATAGCTACAAGTTAATACATAGGTTGTTCTATAAAGAGAAAGAAGTGCATAAACTTTAAAAGGACATAAGTCAAATGATAACTATTAACTTTACGAAATTGTGTAACATAATACCTATATTAGTACGTATTATAAAATCATGTTTCCTGATATGAATTTTATTTGAAATATTTTGATATGACAAAAAATGCTCTATTCAAATTTTTGTTTTCTCAGATTTTTGGAGTGAACTGCATAATAATGATTGAGTTTTTTGATTGTTTTGCGACTGGAATCAGAGTTTTTTTTATTATATTAATTTATAGGTTTAATATGTATAGAAAATCTAAATCTGAACGAAGTTGATATACAAAAACCGAGACACAAAATCTCGCAAAAACAACTACATATAAATAAGTACATTTAAATTAAACAGAAAAATATGAATTTAACATTGTTATGCCAGGAATATAATATAAAATACCTAATTAATATAAAAATATGAAAATATAAAATAAACATGCAAACAATTAAAGGGTCAAAAGAATTTCCGAAATTTTTCCGTGAGTTTTGACAGACTGTATTTAGGTGAAAAAAGGTCGTATCGGGAATTAAAAAGTAGCATTTTGAAGCTCTAAGATTCTATGTTTTAGATCTTTCGGTCGAATTTTTTTTAGGAGCTAGGGTTATCATGCAATTCTAAGAAATAGCTCTACAAACAAATTTTGCAAATTTTCTTTTCTTTTTTTCTTGGAAACTTTTTTTTTCATCTAAACCATTGCATGGACCAGATAGCTTGTTTATTCAGCCTCAATTTCCCTTTTTTTTTTAATTTCGATAGGTACGACCATTTTTCATCGAAATATCGGACTTTAAATGGAAAAGGATCTTTTCGTCATCATTTATAGATATCTCGGCGAGAAATGGTCGTACAGAGAATTGTAGGGCAGTTTCGAAAACTGGAATAAATTTCCTAAACATGCTTGCGCAACTTTTCGGAGTTTTTTTTCATCTTTTACACGAAATTTAAAAAACAGGAAAAAAGGGTAATTTATGGATCACGTTTTTTGAATTTAAACACTTCCATAATCATGATTAAAATGATTTTTACCGCAAATAACATTTAAATTGATGAAAAAAAATTAATTGGAAATTTGTCCCAAAAACGGTATGAATCGGGGTCGAAATCTGGTTTGGGTCATCAACTTTAATTTTAATTTAATTAAAAGTTGATGAACAGAAGCATAGGACGAAAGAGCCGAATCGTGCAAACAATTGGATTCTGTTTTCTTCAATGTCCGGAAGGATTTTCAAAAAAAAAACAAAAAAAAATTTTCAAATTAAGCTCAAAAAACGTGACGCTTGATAAGTTATGATAAATTCGAAAAGTACCTACATTACCATACATAAACAATTTTACTGATATGGATCCAATTTTTACCCTTTACTCACTTGATTTTGGTATGTTCTTATCGAAGTTTTTCGCTTGTAACATATCAACATCAAAATGAGGAAAATAATATATAAATATGTAGTTATACAAGTATAAGTGTAAAGATTAATATTTAAGAATCTTTTTCCGTATGAATCACAGATTACAATACAAATACTTGAGTATAATACTACATATTTAATTCGCTGATTGATGTGTTTGTTACTCTTAATTTTTATTGACATGGGTAATCTCGAACAATAATAATGTAAATTATTTTTTAAATTGAATCAAACAACGCAATAATTTTAGTACTAAGGTCACTTTCATTTGTTCTTTAGGTACAGATCAACATGAATAAGTTTGCATCTGAGATAGCTCTGACCATGAAAGCGCACTGGACACGGTTCATGTCTTATTCCTTCTAGCCGAAGCTTTTTTTCCAATCTGGCGTAGCTCATATATGTACATAATTAGATTTCAATTTCAAAATTCTGGTTTCACGTTACTTCGTACCTTTTCTTACCACAATCATTCAGTTGGAAATACTGTTTACTGTGATTTAATTGATAATTTCATATTTTTTTACTGCAGTATTGACAAATATTTATTTGTGTTTAAGATAACTTTCCCAAGAGTAAGAAAAAACCGATATACTTAATAATTTTTTTTGTTAATTTTGTAAATTATGTCTTGTTACAATCTTGTACCTGCTACTGTATATATTCTAAATTAGTAATTGTAATATTGCTTGCAATGATAGGTATTGTAATATATTCAAATATAATAAAATATTTTGATAGGGATATTCAGGAATAAAGAAAAATTATAATTACTATGTGATTTGCAATTAGCTATTCCGATGAACTGCCGCTTTGCAGAAATATTCTTTGAAATAGCGTCTGGAGGGCAGAAATGTTATAATGGCCAATCGACCACTCCTAGCTGTGCGACATCCTTTTGCTAATCTGATAGGGAAGTCGGCGCTCCCACAGAAATGTCATTTCTTTGGACAAATCTAATTTTTGTTTCGCGTCCGACTAATTTCATTATAAAATGGGTTCGGTTGCCGACGGTAACACGCGAGCAAAGTCGTACCCGTGTTTTACCTGATCTCATGGGAATTTCTAGCACGGCACATGAAATTATACAGAAAAAGTTTATGAAATCTGTCAGAAATAGCCGAAATTTATCAGAAAAATTTTCGAAAGCGCAAGCCAAGTACTTTTTGAAAACAAAACCGGCAGTTGCTTGAACAAACTACCAAATTATTTAATAAAAGCTAAAAAAAATATATTTTTTGTGCAAGGGTCTAAAGTTTTTCATAGGTGGCAAAATACCCAATAAGCAGAGAAACTAAAGCTATGCCACAAATAAATAATTTCAGACAATATTTTTGCCTAATAAACACAAAAACGTAGCAGTTTAAGTTCTTTAGAGTTCACTTTATGGAAATCAGTGTCCTTTGTAATGTCCTGTTGACGTTCCATATGGTTCCGATTACAAGCAACAACGCGCTGTCCAAGCAAACCTACAGTGTGTACAGATTTGATCCCGAACACCAGTGTAGAATTTTACTGGTTGGGGCGATTTTAATGTCAATTTTTTTCAGAGCAGGGAGTGCATAGACACACATATGGGACATATTCCAAAGGAGATGATGTCATCTCGTGGCATACTATGATTTTTTTAATAATGTTGTTTTTGGAAAATCGTATTAGGGATTTTTTAATTGGAAATTTGCCAACACTTCGTTATTCAGCACCATTTAAAATCCTAATACCCAAAATTTCATTAATTTATGTCGTTGCATGTTTTTTATAGAGCCTGAAAGTCCCAAAAACTGAAAATTCTTATTTTAGTTTAAAAATATAGGGGGCTTTTAGAAATGGGTAAAAACAGTAAAATACAATAATTTAAAAAGTTGAAATATCATGTTAAGAAAGAAAAAACAATATAAGTACTTACATTTTAAAATTAGGATAATTTCCCTAAAGACATAATTTTTATTGAAAGAAATTTATTTTTTCTTGTTTTATCAGCTTGCTGTGAAAAACAAATAATATTTGAAGTGTCAAATCATGACATCTATTAGAGCGTTTTAATTTCGGCTTTGTTTTGTGAGAAATATTTTGATAGTAAAATAAAAATGGACTTAACGAAAAAGTGCAAATAATTCGACCAACAGGCAGAAATGATCGAAGTTACAGAGAAGTAGTTAGAATTTTTAATGCTGAACATCCAAACCGACAAATATCAATTTCTACTATGTCACGAATACATCGTATGTTTCATCTCAGTGGTATATAAATGTAAGTTCTAATTTGTAGTATTTTTTTTAACCAGTTCAAATTATCTTTAGGTAATATTTCATCTACGGTAAAAAGAGGTACAGGACATGATATTTCAACCATTTTAAATTGTTTTTTATTGTTTTTTACTCCTTACTAAAAGCCCCCTATATTTTCAAACTAAAATAAGAATTTTCAGTTTTTGGGACTTTGAGGCTCTATAAAAAAACATGCAACGACATAAATTAATAAAATTTTGGGTATTTGGATTTTAAATGGTGCTAAATTTCTAATAAAAAATAACCCTAGTACGATTTTATTAGCAAGTCATGAGATAACATTATCTCCTTAGCAATATGTCCCATACGTGTGTCTGTGAACTCCCTACTCTGAAAAAAATTGATATTAAAATCGTCCCACCCTGTAAAATTCTACATTAGTGTTCCGGATCAAATCTGTACACACTGTATATGTAGGTATCACATTGTGAACTTCCATAAATATCGTATAAAAACTTCTGTGGGAGGTAAATAATAGAATTTTTGCTCAAATGATCAGGCGATACAAAATAATTAATGTTGATTAAATTGTCCATCCAATTTATTTTATCCTTGTTTACTCCCGTCACTTTTTATTAACTGGAAACATATTCATGTAATTTTTTATTTATAAAGTTCTTAAAACTTAACAAACTTCTATACCTTCAACGGAATTTGAGTCACCGTTGCAAAGAGCCACTTTTCTTGATGCTAGGAACAAACCAGTGAGTGAATATTCTGTAATCACGTTTAATTGTCATATAAGAGTATGCATAGTATATAGTTATTATGTTAGGAAAAAACATTTTTTTGATGAAAATAGATAATACTTTTCATTTTACATTCTGCGTTTTCAATGTTAATATCAGTAATTAATAGAAGGTGCTTATAATAAATTAAAATTACCTGAATCACACCAAATCCCGAATTGCTGCACTGCACTGCCGGGCAATTTGTCAACCACTTGTCAACAACTGAGATTTATTGCCCAGTCGTCCAATGAAGCTGTGTTTTTGAAATATTTCAATGCCGAGTTGCTACGTCAGCGACGGAAACTGGTACATACTGCCAACCTTTTGGTTCTTCAATTGAGATCGGAAAGACTATACCAATTGTACCACATACAATATATTTCAAAGGGTAAATTTCAAATTACACCCCAGTCCTATAAGACAGCTTGCAAATGTAATTATGGATTATTCACTGAAGGTTTATATTATTTTATATTTTTTATGTATTGAATGTTGACTATACCTTTGATAATTCAAATAGAAAAGTATTTTTGAATCAAGTGGCGCATTACTCATCATATTTATCTAAAAAATCTTAATTTTAATGTAGGTAGGATGTTCCACTTGAGCGAAGCCTTTCTTGTAATTTGATAATAATTATTTATCGGCATTAATTTTTTTTTATTGATCAAATGCACCAATGTGGGTCCATAATAGTCCAAATGAATGTGCCAAAATTTAACGCGATCGGCAAAAAGGTTATGAAGTTATTAATTCAATTAGTTTTATTTTTGACAACTTTGAAAGCTTGTAACTCAAAAACCAAAATTTTTTTATTTACCTTTTTTTCGTAGATCTTTTTTTTATCAACCTGAATATGCAGTCAAACGTTGTCGGTAAAATTTGTGGACACCCTGTATAATAAAAAAACATGATGACACCAGCATTGCTCCAACAATTTTCATTCTATTCACTCCAAATGTTGACCATATCTTTAAAATAACATTCTTAAGAGAAATACGTACGAGATTTTCGATAAGTTGATTTTTTGTAAGAAATTGATCTTTTTAGTTCAAATTCTCGCCAATCATTAAAAAATTATTGTTCTAAAAATACTCTACGTATTTTTCTAAACATACCTACTGTAGATTAAGAGATTTTTTTTTCCCATAATCTTTGAGTCACTTACACAGCGTGCTTTATTTTAACATTTTACAGTGGTGTAATATTACTAATTATTTATCGCTGAACAATATACATAAGAAAAATATGTATATTTTCTGTCAATATTTTTCATTTAAAATTGTTAGCAAGGAATTTTATCACGTGATTTTTCGGAAATTCGTATGACAGAACTAGGCTATCTTTATAATTTTTATTTGTTTTGTTATATTATTTATTGCTTCAGGCATTCTTAAAACTGATTATGGTTTTCACTATTTGAAACACTCAGCTAACCTTTCTGTATAAATTTCCTATTGTATCTATGCTATTGTAAGTAAAATTGCTGTACCAAATTAATTTCATTATTACTTTAAGATTTTTGTTTATTGGCCACGTAAGTAGTAACTGAATTATCAGGAGGATCCCTTCGGGTTTATGAATCACGTTCAAGAGACGTTATCATTTCGTTTTCAAAACCCTTTTAAGTCTAAGCTTATAGATTGTATCTGATTCGCTACATTTTATTATCTCATTCACATCTAACATATCTAGTGTTTTTTTTCTGTATATAAAGGACGGCTGATAGATCCTAAGTCAGTCAGGATCCACCGAACTCGAAATGAACTTTAAGTTAGTTCTAGTGGTGCTATTTTCGCTTGCCCTAACAGAGGTATGTATAAATATTCTATATTTTTCTTTTAACACCTGAAATATTTTTTAAATTTTACCTTTTACGGTTCAACATCATTAAAATGTTCACTGTGTCTCAAAAAAACGGTGGTCAGGCGGCAACCACAAAAACAATTGAATTTAAGGCAACATACTAAAAATACTTCGTTAGAAATTACAGGATGTTCAAGTTTTAGTGTTTCGTAGTGATATTTTGAACCGAGAATAAATGAAAATTTGAATTTCACACGAAAAAAACCGCTGGACAATTTCACTTATATTTGTTCGATTTCGAGTAAAAAAGAAGATTCAATTTGCTGCTCAAAAATAAATAATGATAAATAACAATAAAACTGAGGATAGAAAGAAGAAAAACTGCCAATAAAAATTTTTTGGGGTCAGAATGGATCACATATCTTTCAGTACGCCACTGATGCATTAAATTTCATTTGAAAATGGTTTTATTGCTTCCCGTGCGCTTATAACGTATACCGATGAAACATCGTTTTTGAACTAATGTAAGTTGTCTGAATTTCAATTGTTTAAAGAAAATAATTTGGTCATTCATTTTTTATCTAATTGAAAAAGTATTGCGTAGAAAACCAATCAATCAAGTGTTAATATCAAACTAATCTTAATTTTTTTTTGTCTTAGGCGGCTGACCTACTAAAATTTCGGGTGAAAAGTGACAAATTCCTCCACAATGCCCCATTAGTTGAAAAAGAGAATGTAAAAAATGAAGAAATTAACTTTACCGCGCCAAATTGGAATAATACAACACCTTCATGGCCATGGAATTTCACAACACCCACTCTACCATGGAACTTCACAACGCCGTCGTGGAACAATACTACCCCTCAATGGAATATAACTACGCCATCTTCGAATGTCACTACTCCACAGTGGAATGTTACCACCCCTGCATGGAATGTCACAACCCCAAGCTGGAATATCACAACTCCCTCATCGAATGTTACGACCCCTTCTTGGAATAATACCACCCCTCAATGGAATATTACAACACCCTCTCCTCCATGGAACAATACTACCCCTCAGTGGAATATAACAACGCCATCTTGGAATGTCACTACTCCACAGTGGAATATTACAACTCCTTGGAATAACACTACCCCTCAATGGAATGTTACCACACCGAGCTGGAACAACACGACCCCGGCATGGAACGTCACAACCCCTTCATGGAATAATACCACCCCTCAGTGGAATATTACAACAACCTCTTCTCCTTGGAACAATACTACCCCTCAGTGGAATATTACAACTCCCACACCACCATCGAACATCACAACTCCATCTTGGAATAATACCACCCCTCAGTGGAATATAACAACGCCATCTTCGAATGTCACTACTCCACAGTGGAATGTTACCACCCCTGCATGGAATGTCACAACCCCAAGTTGGAATATCACAACTCCCTCATCGAATGTTACGACCCCTTCTTGGAATAATACCACCCCTCAGTGGAATATTACAACACCCTCCTCTCCATGGAACAATACTACCCCTCAGTGGAATATTACAACTCCCACACCACCATCGAACATCACAACTCCATCTTGGAACAATACTACTCCACAGTGGAATATTACAACTCCTTGGAATAACACTAACACTACATCTCAATGGAACGTTACCACCCCGAGCTGGAACAACACGACGCCGTCATGGAACGTCACAACCCCTTCATGGAATAATACCACACCTCAGTGGAATATTACAACTCCCACACCACCATCGAATATCACAACTCCATCTTGGAACAATACTACTCCTCAATGGAATATAACAACGCCATCTTGGAATGTCACTACTCCACAGTGGAATATTACAATTCCTTGGAACAACACTACCCCTCAATGGAATGTTACTACCCCGAGCTGGAACAACACGACGCCGGCATGGAACGTCACAACCCCTTCATGGAATAATACCACTCCCCAGTGGAATATTACAACTCCACAGTGGAATGTTACAACTCCCCAATGGAATATTACAACTCCGTCTTGGCCATGGAACTTTACAACTCCCACTGTACCATGGAACATCACCACTCCATCTTGGAACAATACCACCCCTCAGTGGAATATAACTACGCCATCGTGGAATGTTACCACCTCAAGCTGGAACAACACGTCGCCGGCATGGAACGTTACAACTCCTTCTTGGAATAACACCACTCCCCAGTGGAATATTACAACTCCACAGTGGAATGTGACAACTCCGTCTTGGAATATTACCACACCGGCGTGGAATGTCACAACTCCCCAATGGAATATTACAACTCCGTCTTGGCCATGGAACTTTACAACTCCCACTGTACCATGGAACATCACAACTCCCTCTCCCCCTTGGAATGAGACTAGAGCTGCTGAAAGAAAAGTGGGCATCGAAGTAGGCGCTGAAGATCATAGGGACGCCAACGTAGATATCATTATTAATTAAATCTAATGAAACCATTGCAAAGGAGGTAATTATATTACCAATGTAATATATTGAAAATTTGAACATTTTCGCTGACATGTTTTATACCTAATAAAGTTTAATGAACATCTAATTCGAAATATGTAGATTATTCCATTTCCCTTAAAAATATTTTCATTTTGTTCATTACTTGACTGTGGAATTTAGTTATTATGTTAATTTTGTCCACTTGGTTATAATCAGTGTTCCGGTTCCAGTGTAATAAATGATTTGAAAAATAATAGTGGCTTATTTTTCCGTAATTAAAAAAATAAATAAAAAATTATCAGAATATTGACTAAATGTCAATATTAAAAATGTGTTTTCCATATTACTAAATCAGTTCTGTCATAATTTCCTCCGATATCGCCATTCAGTGCTCTACCATAACTGATAAGATAAGAGCTGATTCCTCGCGGAAAATGTTCGCTAGTCGTGATAGAGATTTTATTTGAAAACATTGTGTTTTAGGTAAGAGATATGATCATGTGCAATACCTTGTAGTAAAGTTGCGCCTTGTTGATAATATCGCTAAAAATCGGTGCGCTAACTAGTTCTGTTTATAACCCACCACGTGTCTTATCAGGTCTAGATTGCGTTTCATAAATCGCAATAAATAAGTGTCGATGCCTTATTGACATCTGTAGGTGTTTATCTTTAGCTGCGTTTGACCAGGAATTGTCGGTAGATTTCAATACAACGATTTTTTCATTGCATTTGTATACGTAGCTTCGTGGCTAGCATATGTTTTGAAACACTTCATTTGAAAGATGATATAATTGTCTACTGTCAAAGATGAAATTTGGATTTAATCAAGGCGTTTCTTACTGATACACTGATACAGATTGTCAATTGTCAAGGGCCTGCTTTTAGAGTACCTGTTGACTCAAAATAAATATTGACACCGTTGAATATACGGAATGTTTTGAAACAGATATTAGCTCCCATCCGCACAGACACGCATGATCAATCGCCTGGGTAAAATTGCACGTAGCTGTTTGTTCGACGTGGATTGGTATTTGTTTGTTATTTGTGTTTGTGCGGGTTTGGAACTTTGGAACGATACAATGGTAGTACACCAAGGTTATATACAGTAGTGTGGCTTTGGTGTCTTCCTTTACTGGACACTGGACTGCAGATTTTTGTTTTACGTCGCATTGTAATTTATGCGCCTCAAAACGTAAATAGATCCAAATAAGGTTCATATTTTAAGATTTCAGTTAAATGAACGCACAGAAGAAATGGTTGATTAAACGATTTTATTTGCCTATAAGCCTACCGAACTCTATTAGCTACCGCACATTGTTTTTATTAACAGTAATTACAAAAAAAGTGTTTATTTAATTTATGCGGAAATAGTTATTTTTTGTATCTTGAATGTGAATTGATAGTTTTGCGTTCGAAAATGGAAGTTATTTTGTAGAGCTTAGCAAGGCAAAATATTAATTCAATTCAAAGTGCTGATTCACAATTAATCCCCGAAAAATTGTCGAGACAGTACGAGATTGCCTACAACGAATTCAAAGGGTGGTGTAGTTCGAAGAAACTTCAAAAAGTGTTCGAAGCGGTATTACTTGCGTATTTCGAACATAAAATTAATAAAATTAATATGGGGGGGGGGGCGTTTTACTATGGTAGCGGAGATATATGTAGATATAAATGAAGGGCTCTATGCAAAAAGTCCCTAAGTGACTTTTTTTAAGTTTTGAGATATCGATTTTTCTAACACATAGGCACTTTTTGCATAAAACTTGATAGATGTAGTGACACGGTCAAATGCTAAATATTGTATTTAGGGACATTTTATGCCAAAACAAATCCACTGTATGGATAGTTCAGGAAATTTCACACCAGATGGCACCATTAGTTCAAAACTGGTAAAATGTGACTTAGGGACTTTTTGCATAGAGCCCTTCAAATGTGTTAACCCAGTAATGTCATTATTTAACAAATTGTTTATTATTATAGTTTATACATAACTGTTGGTTTGAAAATTGTTACAGTTAACTGATTTGAAAAACTAAAATTTTGAATAATGATATTTTCACATACTGAGAAGTGTATATGTTTGTATTGTACTATCAATGCAATTTCAATTCTATTCAAGCACTTGTGGAATGTAGAAAACCTTCGCTAACAGAATCAGCTGTTGTTAATAAAATAGGTAATGTTAGAATTTAAATTATGTAAATAGGAAAAATGAGCAATTCAGTGAGAGATTGAAGTGAACTTCAATTTAGAGAAGGATATTACAAAAAAATGGTTTCAAATGTTATAAGGTGAAAAAAGTGCATCTCTTGAGCTTGAGGCAGGAAGATAAACCCTGGAGATTAGGGTTCTGTGGGTGGTGATAACATAGAAAGAGGGAAGATCCTTTCAATGCAGAATTCTCTGGTTAGTTGTGCCTAATTATTTTAACAATGAATTTTTTATTAGGAACATTTACTTCAAATGGACTAATGGTGATTTACATACCAAAATCATAGGACCTTACTTCTATGATGGTAAACTGATGGGTGCCAGATATTGCATTAGCTTCAAAAGAGTACATTATATCCATTAAATTTTTTGTAGTAGGTTAAAACAATTTCTATACATTTTTGATACCAAAATTATAAAAATGTAATAAATATAAGAGATAAAGGCGACATGTACATCGCATGAAAGAGGAAAGAAATGCGAAAATCGCAGATTTACGTATTTTAAAGATTCAATTCATGTTCAAATATGGCAATAATTTTATTTTGACTGTAACTTCATTAGTTTTCATGCTAACGACTTCTACCACCAATTAAAGGTCTTCTCAGTAACTTTAATAGGTGTTAAATAAGTTTTCCTCGAAAAACTTTTAATTTTTCCGCTACAGGACGTTGTACGTTTCGATTATAGCTTCGAAATTCTACAAACATAAAAAAAGCAATCTCTTTGCTATTTACTTACCTTCATTTTTGCTTATGATCATTTTTTTTATAAAACTTGTAGTTTTTGAGATATTCGCGAAAAATGTCTCAAAACATGCATTTTTTGGGCTAAAAACGAACATGTTTAGGCGCAAATAACTCAAAAAGTATTGACTGTACCAAATATTCTTATAGAACATTTTTTGTTTAGAATCGTGAGATTATTTTTAATAAAAAATTTTCACCCTCCAGAAGGGGTGGCATCCACCCCTAGGGTAAAAGCACACATCGGCAGTATATAACTTTTGTTTCTTAGGCTATTCCCTAGCTACAGTTCAAATTTCACGTCAATCCATTCCATCCGAAAAAATTGGTTGCCAAAATGCTGCAGTAACTGGACTAATGGGTCAAAATTGATTTTTTTTTGAATTTTTCCAAATATACCATTTTTGTAGTATTTTGGGGTGCCACTAATTTTTAGAAAGTTGCGCATTTTTCGAAAGTTGTATTCTGCGCACAATGGGCTTGTAATTGGCCCAAATATGAGTCAAAACTTTTTATTCGAAGAAGTTATGTATGAGTATGAGTTATTTGTAAATGATTTTGCTGCTTTAACCTGCCCTTTCAACTCTAAATTTAACCATTGCACAAATGTCACCTAAACGCGTCGATGTTAATGCCGTCAATTTTCCACCCATTCGAACTGACAATAAGCGATCCGTCCATCCGAATGCGGGGGTTGTCGAGGCGTGTTCCTCCCTTATTATAACGTGCTTTTAGGGCACATCCTGGAGCGGATTCATTATTTGTTAAAGAACAACAGCAACTACGGGTTTTTATTTTGTCTATCGATCACCACCTTTCCTCCTGGAATGTCATAAACGATACGGATCGTTAAAATCACCGTCGAAAGGTCGGCCCCGTAGGGCTTGGTTGTGTCCTGCTGCGGGCTTACCTAGCGGGGCCGCCTCAGTCAGTCGGTTGGGTGCCGTTTGAAGAATCAGGTGTGTTTTTTTCTTGGTCTGTAGGGTGCGACACTGGCGTGCCGGTAAAGGGGTCTTGTCTAATACGCTTTTGTGTGTTTTGTTGCTGTTTTATGTTAACAATTTATTCGTGAATAAATTCGAGAAGTTCTTTGTGAATTAATTCATTTCTTTGAAAGGGAAATAGCTGCTACCAACTTTGCAACCAATTCATAGTAATAGAAGCAAATTGAATTGAATTGAATTCTTGAATAAGTTGAAATTGAAACGTAAAAAAATTCTAATTCATTGAAGTTATTTCAAAATATACAGGGTGATTCAGTTCGAGTGAATCAAACTTTAACCACAAATAGAAGTCGGTAAATAATTCAGAATTGCCTTATAAAACAAGGGTCTAAGTCTCACCGTTTTCATTGTGCAAGGCCGTATTTGTCGGTTGTTAAAATCATATTATTTATGAAATCCTTGGCTTATAACAAATTGATACAAATTTGGTGTAGTGTTAACATTTACACATGTGCATAATTTACTGTAAATTTTACACATTTTTGTAGGTCAGTGGCAATTCTGAATTATTTATCGAGTTCTATTTGTGGTTAGTTTGATTCACTCGAACTGAAACACAGACCTATAGTGTAGTAATGGAACCTATGCTTTTATTTGCGTTTTATTTTGAAAAAAAAGTGTTTAACTGCATTATCAATAACAGTCTAACATCTATATCTGATGTTTAGGCCTTAATAAACATTTTTCTAAGATGTCATATAATAAGTAAAATATACAGTATATCTGAAAACTAAAAAAAAAAAAAAAATAGGGGGTGATTCTACCTACAAACAAATAGTGCAACTTTCTGTATTTTTTTCGAACATATTAACCGAGTTGTTTATTTTCAAAATATATTTTTTTAATTAACACTTCTCTTTTACCAAATATAAATTTTTTAAAGATACGCTCAACATTTATAACAAACTGAACTTTCGGAAAAAGTTCATCAAACATAAAGCCTTATAGGAATTGATTAGGTACAACTTTTTTGTGTGATTTAAAAAAAAAACAACTTAATTTTATAGATTTTCCAAGTTGTTCTACAGGGTGATTCACAAATGGTGACCAAAAAGGAAACCTCGTATTCTTTGGTGAGTCTTTGCTCTAAAATTTTTATCTAGGATGCTCTGTGAAAAATATACAGGGTGTTAAACTTCAAAATATATATTT